TGCTTGCCATAGATGCAGGCGAAACATCAGGAGAAATGCCTCTAGAACATGGCCATATAACCCGAAAAAACCTACAACAACCCAGTGATTCCAGCCATGAACGCCTTCAAGAACACTTTGTTTGTATTCTATGATTGCGCATATCTTGTTTGAGGTGCAAAAAACCATGAAAGAATGATACAATATTCAAAAGGGAAAACAATTCTAACCAACATAAACTTGCTAGTATTTCAGTGGGAAGCAGGGCCTGATTTTGGCTGATTATTTATTTCTTTATTTCACATATTTGTATCCTGTCCATCTCACTCCCGGAAGGGAACTCAGGGCGACTTCACAACAGGCGTTAATTTAATGCCAACAACAGTAATAAATGATAAAAGCAATTAAAACAATTTGTTAATGCTTTAAAATTACTAAACATTGTTTAAATCACGCAGGTTTGAAATCGTAGTCCAGGTCAGTCCATTGTCATTCACATAAATTGGGTCTCATTCTAAATTGCTGCCTCTGCTGTTCAAACACTTGGTTCCATAGCCAGGTTTTGAGTTTCATTCTGGAGGACAAGAGGGAGGAGGCCAATCTAATGTCACTGGGTGGAGAGTTTCACAGGTAAGGGGCCACCACTGAGAAGGCCCTGTCTCTCGTCTCCACCTGTTGCACTTGCGAGGATGGTGGGACCAAGAGCAGAGTCTCTCCCGTCAATCTTAGACTTCACGATATTTCATAGCAGGAGATAAGTTCAGACAGGTAAGCTGAGTCAGAACTGTTCAGGGCTTTATAGGCTAAAGCCAGCACTTTGAATTGTGCTTGGTAGCAGACTGGCAGCCAGTGGAGCTGGCATAACAAAGGAGGTGTATGTTCTCTGTATGCCGCTCTGGTCAGCAACCTGGCTGCCATCCATTGGACTAGTTGGAGCTTCCAAACAGTCTTCAAAGGCAACCCCATGTAGAGTGCATTGCAGTAATCTGTTTGGGATGTAAGGAAAGCGTGAACCACTGTGGCCAAGTCAGACTTTCCAAAATATGGGTGCTACTGGCACACAAATTGTGCAAAAGCTCCCCTAGCCACCGCCAAGCCTTGGGTTCTAGGCTCAGTGATGAGTCTAGGATCACTTCCAAGCTGCGAATCTGTGTCTTCAAGGGGAGTGTGCACAGGCTGTAACCCTATGCCCCGTTTTGCCTTGCAGCTGACCAGGCGAACCTTTATCTTGTCTGGATTCAATTTCATTTTGTTTGCCCTCATCCAGACAGTCACAGCTGCCAAGCACCTGAACAGATTCCTTAATAACAGGTGGGAAGGAGTGATAGAGGTGAACATCATTTGCATACAAATGACACCTCACTCCAAAACTCTGGATAATCTCTCCCAGCAGATTCATTTAAATGTTAAACAACATAGGGGATAATACTGATCCCTGCGGGACCCCCTCCCCCCAGTCAATGGTTGTGAGGTCAAGCAGGTGTCCCCCAGCAACACCTTCTGGGAATGGTTCTCAAGGAAGGACCGGAGCCACTGCAAAATATAAGAGAGTCAAATTAAACTAGGATTATTGTTGTTTTGTTGTGTGCCTTCCAGGCATTTTAGACTCAAGGCGACCTTCAGTCTAAGGTTTAGGGCCAGCTCAATGGCCTTTGAGGAGCACATACGGACCATGGACCATAGTTTGGACAGCTCTGTTTTAGAGTCACAAAGAGAAAGCGTTTCCCTATGAATGGCCCCGAAATGCTTTATTCCTTTTTTCCTTTCTTTTTTTAATAATATTTTGGAGACATGATCTTTGTAAAGGCATGACCTTGTTAGAAATCATAGCCTTGAACTTGACCTAATTGGTTCTGTCATAACAACATGGAAAAAGTTTAATAAGCTGCAAAATTGTGAACCTCGCAGGCCGAAGCCCCCCGCAAGACAGTGGTGCGTCCGTTCCGGCCCCCGACGGCTCAGGAGATGTGCTATCAGCGGATCCAAGAGGCCCAGAAGCAGGCCTTGCGACTAGCCCAGCAGCAGCAGCAGCAGAAGCAGCAGCAACAAAGCAGGCCCCAGCCATTGCCCACAGCTCCCTTGAGAAGTCCTTCCCTTGGGATGCGCACAGGGGAAAAGAAGCGCATTGCCCATGTGCCTCAGCGGGCAGCTCCTTTGGCCCCAAAGGGTGGTAAGAAAGCAATTAGTATAATTATTATTATCATCCTAGCTTGAGTACGCAGCGTTGCCTGGGTAATTTTTAAAGTCAGTTTTTAATTGTACAAAATGCATAAGGTTGTGGGTGAACTACAACTCACATCATGCCAGGTTAACCCCGAGAAACTCCCATCAGTACTTAAAGTTTGTCATATTGGGCAAGTTTGCACTAGATGCATCATTGGTAGGGTTCAGTGTGCTCTCTGGCTGCAGGGTAAACTAGAATTCCCACGATAGTGAGTCAGTCCCCTCAAACCCCCTCCTGTAGATTGAGTTGGTCATGGGGGTTCTGTGTGCCAAGTTTGGTCTAGGTCCATCATTGGTGGAGGTCACAATTTCTCTATGGATGAACTACAGCTCCCAGAAAGGGAGTTCCCCCCAAACCCCTCCAGTAATCAAATTTTGGCATATCAAGTATGTGTGCCAAGTTTGGTCCAGATCCATCAGTGTTTGGGTTCACAGGGCTCTCTGGATGGAGGTGAACTACAACTCCCTCAAATCAAAGTGAATTTTCCCCCAAAGACCTCCAGTATTTTTTTGCAGTTCATGGGGGCTCTGTGTGCCAAGTTTGATCCAATTCCATCTTTGGTGGAGTTCAGAGTGCTCATTGATTGCATGTGAACTATAAATCTCAGTAACTACAACTCCAAAAGGTCCAGGCCAGTTCCCTTCAAAACCCCTGCAATATGCACATTTGGGCATATCGGGGATGCATTCAAAGTTTGGTCCAGATCTATCATGGTTTGTGTTCATAGTGCGCTCTGGATGTAGGTGAACTACAACTCCTCTAAATCCCTCCAGTATATTTTGTTGGTCATGGGGGTTCTGTGCGCCAAAGAAATGAATAGGAGAGGGTTATGGGAGAGGCAGTGGGAGGGGTCAATGGAGAGAGTCAGAAACACTGGGATGCCTGTGGTGGAGGAAACACATCAAATCTAGGATGAAATTGTCCCCGAATTTAAGTTTTCACTTGGGTGGTGGGGAGTATGGTGTTTGTTGAGGACATTGGCAGGGCTCTTTGGCATGTTCATGGCGGTCACTCTAACCTGCAATGTCATTGGAGGGAGGGCCATTGGTGTTTCCTGAGTGGTGGGAGCTATAGCTGTTTGTGGAGGCAGGAGTCTGTCTGTGTAGATGGACACCCCAGCCACACTCACTTTTATTATGGACTAGCTGTACCCTGCCACACGTTGCTGTGGCCTATAGTAAATCTTTTCATAGTAGAGGTAGATATCTGGTCTATTATGAAAGAGAGGTACATTCTCTCTTTCCTTCATTCCCTCCCCCTTTCTTCCTTTGCCTCCTTTCTTCCCTCCATGTTTCCTTCCTTCTTTCACTTTTTATTTGCTGTGGCCAACCTTCCCTCTTTCTCTCCTTCTTTCCCTCCTTCCTTCCCATCTTTCCTTCTCCTCTTCCTTCTCTATCTCTTTCCTTCCTTCCCTTTTTCTTTCTCTTCTGCTGTCTCTCTTTTCTTCCTTCTCTCTTTCCTTCCCTCCCTCTTTCTCTACATCTTCCCCCTTCCTTCACTCCCTCTTTCCTTCCTTCATTCCCTTTTTTCTTTCCTCCTCTCCTTCCTTCTTTCCCCTTTTTCTTTCCCTCCCTCTTTCTCTCATTTCTTCCTTCTCTACCTCTTTCCTTCCTTCCCCCTTTTTCTTTCTCTTCTGCTGTCTCTCTTATCTTTCCTTCCATCTTTCCTTTTCTTTCCTTTTCTTCTTCCTTCTTTCTCTTACTTTCCTTCCTTCCCCCTTTTTCTTTACCTCCCTTTCTCTTTCTTCCTTCTTTCCTTCCTTCCCATCTTTCCTTCTCTATCTCTTTCCTTCCTTCCCCCTTTTTTTCTCTTCTGCTGTCTCTTTTTTTCCTTCCTTCTCTCTTTCCTTCTTTCCTTCCCTCCCTTTCTCTACGGGAAGGGGGGGGCTTGGAGGGGGCGGGGCTTGGAGGGGAAGAAGAAGGAGGGGGAGGAGGTAAGATTGGGGAAGAAGAAGGAGGAGGTAAGATTGGGGTGTGTTGTGGCGTGTGTGTGTGCCACGGGGGAGTGAGGTGACGTGTTGTGGCGTGTGTGTGTGTGTGTGCGGTGGGGGTGTGAGGTGACGTGTTGTGGTGTGTGTGTGTGTGTGCCGCGGGGGGGGTGAGGGGCGGCGTTCGGGCGGGGTGGGGCGAGGGAGGGAGGTGCGGAGGGTGCGTTGGCCGTTTGGCCATGTGCGCGCACGTGCCGGGGACTTTGCGCCATTGTGCATGCTCAGTTGTTTTGTCCTTTTGTGAGTGTGTTGTTGTGTTGTTTTTTATTTTGATTAGATATGTTTGTACCTTGTGGGTTGTGGTAGGTGCATGGGAATTTTGGTTAATTTTCGTTGGGGTTTTTTTGAGTTTTGCTGTCCCGTTCGACGCCCCTTTCAAATTTATATATATAGATATAGATACAGTAGAGTCTCGCTTATCTGACATAAACAGGCCCGCAGAATGTTGGATAAACGAAAATGTTGGATAATATGGAATCTCCTACTGTTATCCATCCAGCGAGGTTCTAGACACCTAGAATACTAACACAGACTCAAAAGGATAAGGCAAGACAACGCCTCGAGGCTAGAGTGGCCCAGCAGGAAGTGCCCGGATGTGGAAGAGGAGCGTGGAAATCATAGAAGGAAGAAGGGAGGATGCTTCTGCTTCCGGTCCTGCCTCTTTTCTCCCTCCTCCTCCTTGTCTTGATTTTTTCACTTACTGGGAATGGTGAGCACTCCTTTAATTGAAGGGCAAATGCTGGAGGGATAGGAGGGTGTCAGATAAGAGGAATGTCGGATAAACGAAGGTCGGATAAGCAAGACTCTATTGTAGATTAAGTCCGATTCATCATCATATCTAATGCGCACTTCCATTTCTCAAACCCTGAAACCAAAAACATTGAAAATATACAGGATTAAAGCAATCATTCATACCTATACACTGTCTCTTTAAGGCTCTTCTCTTTTATGTGCTGAGCATTGCTTTTGCTTTCTGTTTGGTTCCCTGTCTTGGACAGAAAGGGAAAGCAGTGCTCAGATTTTGGAGACACTCAGCTGTCCAGTTATTATTATTATTATTATTATTTCTATCCCATTTTATCTCTCGTATTATTATTATTACCACCTATCTCTTCCGGCAAGCCTATCCAGTCAATTGTAAGTTATGAATTTTTATCCTGCATTTCACCTGCATGTGTATATTGTTACATGCCTTTTAATAGTGTTTTGTTTGACCGTGCTGCTTTAACCCTGTTGTACCCCACCTTGAGCTGCAAGAAGATACGGTGATAAATAAATATTACTATTATTCAAAATGTTTTTTTTTAAGGGAGGCACTGAAGACAATATATATTCTGCCAGGTTTTCAGTGGGTTTTATTTGTCTGTTCATTGTGCTCTCTCAATGGTTTCATTTTTCCTTTCTTGTATTTTGTGTGATTGTTCTAAACCACCCTTTCAGTCGCCTTCGGGCTGAGAAGGGTGGGGTAGAAGTGCTGCAAATAAATAAACCCCCTCGGTTCGGTTTTTCCTCCAGAATGGACATCCCAGGGTTCCTTACTCTTTCCATTGCTGCTGAATTTGCATGACCCCGCCCACTGCCTTTCCCTTAACCCTTTCCTATGGCACATAGCAATCAGGAATAGATCAGCAACTGAACAAGAGGTTTGGGAAGAATTCACCATGATTTATAGGAGTTGGAGTTCACTTCCATCTAAACAACACTGTGAACCCAACCAACAATGGATTTGGACCACACTTGCCACAGATTATAGGACTTGCAGTACCTCCACTCATTTTCAGAGATCACTGTGGCCCCCACAAATGATGGACCAAACCTGGCACACAGACACCCCCCCCCCCCATGACCGACTATACATCCTGGTGTGGTTTGGGGGAGGATGGACCGTGGATGATGGSATTTGCAGTACCTTCATCCACATTCAGACTGACAGACCTGGACCAAACTTGCCACACACTCTCCATGATGTACTTTACATCCTGATGAGTTTTGGGAGAGGATGGACCAGTGATGATGGGAACTGCAGTGTCTTCACTCAATTCTAGATACCACTGTGACCCAAACGAATGATGCACCTGGGCCAAATTTGGCACACTGACTATGACGCACTTTCTGTCCTGGTGAAGGTTGGCGGAGGATGGAACACATACGATGGGATTTGCAGTACCTTCACCCACTTCCACAACCCACTGAGACACCCACAAATGACAGGCCTGGACCAAACTTGGGACACAAAACCCCCATGACCAACAGAACATACTGGAGGTGTTTGTGGGGGGACCAACCCACCCGCGTGGGAGTTGTAGTTCACCCTTCACTCAGGGCACTCTGAATCCCATCAATGACGGATCTGGACCAAAAAGTGGCACGCAGAACCCTGATGACCAACAGAACATACTGGAGGGGTTGGGGAGGGAATGACCCACCCATGTAGGAGTTGTAGTTCACCCTGCATCCAGAGCACTCTGAACCCCACCAATGATGGGTCTGGACCAAACTTGGCACACAGACCCAACATGCCTAACTGTGAATAGAGGTGTTGGTGGTGATTGAGTTCACCTGCACCCAAAGAAACAGTGACCCCCACTGACAATAGACCGGGACCAAACTTGGCACAGAGAAGCCCCATGACCAACTAAAGATACTGAAGGGGGTTGTGGGATCTTGATTTTGAGATTAGTAGTTCACTCTTATCCAGAATGCACTGAACGCAGCCAGTGACGGATCTGGACCACACCTGACACACAGACCCAACGTAGCCAGCTGTGCATACAGGCCTGGTTTGGGGAGGATTTGGGGAATTGTAGTTCACCCACATCATTATATATTTTCTAATGGGAGCATTCATAAAAAACCAAATCAAAGACTGGCTTTTTTCTAATAAATAGTGTTACTAATTAACTAAATGATATTACCTAACAACCAACAGGGACACAGTCTCCCTGTCTAGCTCCCTTCGTAGATCATACACCAAGGCGACCAATTCTGTCTCTGTTCCATAGTCAGGTCTGAAACCAGATTGAAATGGATCTAGATAAATGGTTTCATTCAAGAAACTTTGGAGTTGTATTGTATTGTAATATGAGTGTATTGTATGAAACTCTCACCAGGGATTGATGCAGCTAAAACTGAATGACCGATTCATGAAAGGATTCTGGTGTAAAAAAGCACATCCCTGACATGAAAGGTTTGGAAAGCTCTAGACCTTTTGCCGACATAAAAAGCGAGGCTCCGTTCTCATTTTGCTGCTCTGTTTCTGTGCCCTTATAGCCCAAGGAACCCTCAAAAAGACCCTCCCACCTGCGAGCAGCTCATATTCCAGTGGCCCCGATGCTACAGGGTCCCTGAAAGCTCGCACCTTGGCCGGCATGGCATCCAAGACGACATCCACCAACGTCCCGAAAAGGATGGCCCATGCCCCCACCCTGCAGGTACAGCCTTGAATTCAACACACACACATATACATACATATATACACACCCTATTTACTTGAGTCTAATGCTCACCTTTTTGGCCTATATTTATTTATTATGTCAGAAGCAAATTGAGAATATAGTTATAATGTATAGAAAAACCACAAACAAAGTTAAAAACTGGTCATTATACTAAATGTCCTTTGAACAGAAGCTGGCCACTTGGACTGCCTCTGGTGTCGCTGTGAGAAGTTCCTCCATTGTGCATGTGGCAGGGCTTAGGTTGCATTGTATTAAATGGTTTGTGGTTTGCTCTTCTCCATACTCGCATGTCGTGGACTCCACTTTGTGGCCCCATATCTGAATGTTAGCTCTGCATCTCATGGTGCCACAGCTTAGTCTGGTCAGTGCCTTCCATGTCACCCAGCCTTCTGTGTGCCCATATATGTGTACTATAATTTGCCCTGAGTTCCCTCGGTGAGACAGGGCAGAATATAAATAAAGTATCATCAGTGTAGATGAAACTCTGTTCCTTCTGGCAGTGGCTGATCATCTGTGTAAATATTAAACATTGATGGAGCAAGCACACTCTGATGGAGCAAGCATGCCATTCTTCTGTTTTTGCCATCTGCTTTTCTGGCCCTGGAGCTCAACAAAAAAGTTCCTGTTTTGTAGCATATTTCCTATGAAGCGGGTGAGGTGGTAATCCTTTGTGATATCATACCTTTTTCTCAGGAGGAGTCAATTTACAGTATCATATGCTGCTAACAGGTCTAATCTGCTGAAGTGTGAAGAGAGCTTAGAGTGAACTAGAGAGAGAAGGGAAGCCACTGTTATTCCAAATCCCCTACTCTTCTCTCCCAGTGTTCTTTTCACATGACAAGCCATCCAAAAGACATAAAAAGGCCTTCTCATTCTGCATTTGAATGTAGCACGTTCCTATCTCTCTCCCATCTGCAGAGTGCCGCGTTGAAAAGGCCGGTCATTCCCACCGAGTTTGGCGCCAGAGTCCCCACCAATGTCCGGCAGCGGTACCTCAACCTCTTCATCGAAGAGTGCCTGAAGTCGTGTTCCTCCCAGCAGGAAGCGTTTGACAAGGTCAGTGCTCCAGAGGTTGTTTTTTTTTTGGGGGGGGGGGGGATTGACTAAGGATGATGGGAGTTGTAGTACACCCACATCCAGAGAGCACTGTGAACCCCACTGATGGTGGCTTTGAACCAAAACTTGGCACACATACCCACCATGATCAACTTTAGGGGAGAATTGACAGAGGATGATGTGAGTTAGAATCATAAAATCAAAGAGTTGGAAGAGACCTCATGGGCCATCCAGTCCAACCCCCTGCCAAGAAGCAGGAATATTGCATTCAAATCACCCCTGACAGATGGCCATCCAGCCTCTGTTTAAAAGCTTCCAAAGAAGGAGCCTCCACCACACTATGGGGCAGAGAGTTCCACTGCTGAACAGCTCTCACAGTCAGGAAGTTCTTCCTCATGTTCAGATGGAATCTCCTTTCTTGTAGTTTGAAGCCATTGTTTCGCATCCTAGTCTCCAGGGAAGCAGAAAACAAGTTTGCTCCCTCCTCCCTGTGGCTTCCTCTCACATATTTATACATGGCTATCATATCTCCTCTCAGCCTTCTCTTCTTCAGGCTAAACATGCCCAGCTCCTTAAGCCGCTCCTCATAGGGCTTGTTCTCCAGACCCTTGATCATTTTAGTCGCCCTCCTCTGGACACATTCCAGCTTGTCAACATCTCTCTTGAATTGTGGTGCCCAGAATTGGACACAATATTCCAGGTGTGGTCTAACCAAAGCGGAATAGAGGGGTTCCCTCTATTACTTCCCTAGATCTAGACACTATGCTCCTATTGATGCAGGCCAAAATCCCATTGGCTTTTTTTGCCTCCACATCACATTGTTTTTTTTTTTTGAATAATTTTTTATTAAGGTATTTATCAAATACAACGAAAGAGGGTGAACATTTAAAGAAGATAGAACAGTGGGAAAGATATAGAAAAATCCCCAAAGGAAGTCCCAAAGGAAGCCCTTTCCTCTAATTATAGATAGACAGACAGATAGATATGGGGGCCACTCACCCCATAGAAGGAGAGCGTGGACCCCACTTGGGACCCCCAGCTGCCTTGGCCATCTTCTTCCTCTTCCTCTCTGTCTTTGGGGAAAGAGGGCGCCACGTGGTCTCCAAGACCCCCGCCCTCTGGCTTTCGCCCCCAAAGCCACGCCTCTCCCGCTCTCTCCCACTCTCTCTCTCTCTTGGAAGCCACGCCCCCTCGCTGCTGGAAGCCAATCTACACCCGCTCTCCTTGAGAGGCCACGCCCCTTAAAAGCCAAGCTCCCTGAGCTGTTTGGGAAGCCACGCCCTCCCTCACTGTGAAGCCCCGCCCCTCCCGCTTTCTCTCTCGGGGAGGCCCGTTTGTTCCCTATGCCTTTCACACCTTGAAGCCACGCCCCTCCCGCTCTCTGTGGGAAGCCCTCTCCTTCCCTCCCTGAATAGCCACGCCCTCTCTATATTTTGTATTCATATTTTGAAGCCACGCCCCCTGTGAAGCCAAGTCCCTCCCACTCTCTCTTTGGGAAGCCCCGCTCCTTCTCCCTATGAAGCCACGCCCCTCGCCCCTTAAAGGAGTCATGCCCCTCGTTCTCTGGGAAAGAAGAAACCCAAAATGATGTCCTGTCTCTTTAAACCAGGCCCCAGACTCCTTAACAGGTGGCTTCTTGCCTAAGCTGGGCCTTCTGGGTCTCTTTTCTCTCTGCTTCATTTTTTAATGCATGTTTCTTTTTTCATATATTCTATATAAATAAAAATGTAATGTTCGTTTTTGGGATTAACAGAACTCAAAAACCAGTGGGCCAATTGACACCAAATTTGGACAGAATACATCTAACAAGCCAATAGAATCATAGAATCAAATAGAATCAAAGAGTTGGAAGAGACCTCATGGGCCATCCAGTCCAATCCCCTGCCAAGAAGAAGGAATATTGCATTCAAATCACCCTGACAGATGGCCATCCAGCCTCTGTTTAAAAGCTTCCAAAGAAGGAGCCTCCACCACACTCAGGGCAGAGAGTTCCACTGCTGAACGGCTCTCACAGTCAGGAAGTTCTTCCTCATGTTCAGATGGAATCTCCTTTCTTGTAGTTTGAAGCCATTGTTTCGCGTCCTAGTCTCCAGGAAAGCAGAAAACAAGCTTGTTCCCTCCTCCCTGTGGCTTCCTCTCACATATTTATACATGGCTATCATATCTCCTCTCAGCCTTCTCTTCTTCAGGCTAAACATGCCCAGCTCCTTAAGCCGCTCCTCATAGGGCTTGTTCTCCAGACCCTTGATCATTTTAGCCGCCCTCCTCTGGACACATTCCAGCTTGTCAACATCTCTCTTGAATTGTGGTGCCCAGAATTGGACACAATATTCCAGGTGTGGTCTAACCAAAGCGGAATAGAGGGGTTCCCTCTATTACTTCCCTAGATCTAGACACTATGCTCCTATTGATGCAGGCCAAAATCCCATTGGCTTTTTTTGCCTCCACATCACATTGTTTTTTTTTTTTGAATAATTTTTTATTAAGGTATTTATCAAATACAACGAAAGAGGGTGAACATTTAAAGAAGATAGAACAGTGGGAAAGATATAGAAAAAAAGAAGAAAAGAGAAAAAAAAGAAGAAAAAAAACAAAACAAAAAAAAAAGCCCAAAAATATATATAAAAATCAATATAAAAACATAAAAAAGGTTTGACTTCCATCTCCTCATCAGGTGTTGTGTCTCCAAAAATGTTCCTGTTACTTTCCCTTAAATTGTCTCTTATTTACTTTTTTTCTTCTTTCTCGTACTTATCATAAAGTGTCCAGTCTGTCTTCTTTATCGGGTTTCCGGTATTTTTTTTCAAAAAAAAAGTCAATTCGTCCATCTCCCTTATTTCTCTAATTTTCCCCAGCCATTCCTCCTTAGTAGGGATACTATCCTGTTTCCAAACCTTTGCTAAGACAATTCTCACTGCCGTCGTCATGTAAGTGAAAAGTTTGTCCTCATTTTCCTGTAATTGTAATTCCAAGTCTGTGAAGCCCAGTAAATAGTATTCAGGTTTCTTCTTAAATACTCTTTTCAGAATTTTTTGTAACTCTTCATGTATCATAGACCAATATTTCACTATTTCTTTGCATGTCCACCACATGTGATAAAAGGTACCTATCTGTTGACAGCCTTTCCAGCATTTGTCAGAGGAATTTTTATTTATTAAAGATAGTTTCTTGGGAGTGGTGTACCATCTGTGGAACATTTTTACCCAATTTTCCTTTAAGTCCGTTGCATACACATATTTTAGCTTCTTGTTCCACATCTGTTCCCACTCCTTAAATTGAATAGGTCTTCTTATATTTTCTGCCCATTTTATCATACATGGTTTAACTTGTTCACTTTCCGTTAACCACATCAGAAGTGTATTATAAATAACTGAAATAACTTTTTTCTTTGCCTTCAAAATTTTATCCCAAGTTGATCCTTCCCAGGCAAAACCTATCTTATTATCTTGTTTAATGTAGTCTTTCATTTGTAAATAATGTAGCCATGTCAGATTACTATTTTTTTCTTTTAATTGCTCATAAGTCTTAATCTCCACTGTATTCTCTTTTAAAATATCCTTATATGTTGGCCACGCTCTCCAGCCTAATAATCTTCTTTGATGCGCCTCCATTGGAGAGACCCAAAGTGGTGTTTTGTTGTAAAAGTAATTCTTATATTTCATCCAGACTCTCAATAAGGATGCTCTGACGAAGTGATTTCCAATTTTTTTTCCTTTTTCTCTCTATCATACCACGTGTAGGCATGCCAGCCCACACGTAGATCATGGCCTTCTAAATTCAGACCTTTTTCATTTTCTAACAACATCCAGTCCCTAATCCATAAGAGAGCACTTGCATCATGATAAGCTTTTAGGTCTGGGAAACCTAATCCACCTCTTGTTTTTTTGTCGATTAAATTTAAATATTTAATTCTAGGTCTTTTTCCTTCCCAAACAAATTTCAATAATTCTTTATTCCAATTTTTAAAAATTGTTTGATTTCTAATTACGGGAATATTTTGAAATAGGAACAATAATTTCGGTAATACATTCATTTTGATTAATGCTATTCTTCCTAATAAGGATAATTTCAATATTTTCCAGTTCTTAAGGTCCTTCTGTATCTTGCTCCAAGCCGATTCGTAATTATTCTTCAGCAGTTGACCATTCTTTGCAGTTATCCAAATTCCTAGATATTTTAATTTTTTAACAATTTCCATTCCTGTAGTAGATGCAATCTTCTCCTGATTTTCCTTCTTTACATTTTTAATTAAAATTTTTGTTTTTCCTTTATTCACTTTGAAACCTGCCACTCTTCCAAATTCTTGCATTTTCTTTATCCAGTTCTGGAGATTGATTGTAGGATCTTCCACAATCCCTAATAAGTCATCCGCGAAAGCTTTGATCTTATATTCATATTTCCCAATTTTGACTCCCTTAATATTTGTATCTTCTCTTATTTTCCTCATCAGTGGTTCCAAGGCCATAATAAAAATCAAAGGAGATAACGGACATCCTTGTCTTGTTCCCTTCGTAATTATAAACTCTTCGGATTGTTGACCGTTTATCCGAATTTTTGCCCTTTGTACTTCATAAATGGCATTAATTGCATTAGTAAATTGTGCTCCCATATCCAATTCCTGAATCAACATCTTAAAGAAGTCCCAATTTAAATTGTCAAATGCTTTCTCTGCATCAATTGATAGGATGGCAGCTTCCTTCTGATGGTTCACTTCAAAATATTCTATCAAGTCTAAAACAGTTCGTATATTATCCTTCATGTATCTTCCTGGGAGGAACCCTGTCTGATCCTCCCCTATCCATTCCGTCAAAAATTCTTTTAATCTTGTCGCCAAAATGTTCGTAAGTATTTTATAATCTACATTCAGGAGGGAAATAGGTCTATAATTTTTAATATCCTCAGGTGATGAGCCTTCTTTGTGTATCATTACTATTTCGGCTTGATTCCAAGATTCCGGTATTGTTTGGTACAGCAATGCCTCATTTAGGACCTTTTTCAACATTGGTAAAACAGTTCTCTTCATTGATTTATAGAAGCCTGCTGTAAATCCATCAGGACCTGGCGCCTTATCTGCATCCATTTTATTCAAAGCGTTATCAATTTCTTCTTCCGTAATCTCTTTATTCAACTTTTCCCGTATCTCCTCTGAAACTTTTTGCAATTTCAATTGACTTATATACTCCGTAATTTCCTCCTTCTTTATTCCGTCACTGGTATATAATTTACTATAATATTTCCTGAATTCTTCCATAATCTCCTTATCCGTCGTAAATACTCTATCTCCCTCAGTTATTTTCGTTATTTGTGTAGCTTGCTTCTTCTTGCGTACCTGTCTTGCTAACCATTTCCCAGATCTATTTGCATTCTCGAACGTTTGCTGTTTCAAAAATTTTAGCTCTCTTGCTTGTCTTTCCACCTCTAAGCGGGACTTCTCCTGTTTAAGTCTCGCTAATTCTTTATTCAATTTTTTACTATCCGGTTTCTTTTTTAACTCTGTCTCTTTATTTCCAATTTTATTCATCACTTCCTTCATTTGTCTATTTCTTTCTTTATTTTTCCTGGCTCCATGTTGTATGAAGCGTCCCCTTAAAACGGCTTTTAGCGCGTCCCACGTTACTTGTATTTTTGTCTCCTCGATATCATTAATTTCTAAATAGTCTTTAATGATTTTATTATAATGCATTTTGTCCTCCTCTGTCTTAATCAAATTTTCATTCAATCTCCATTTTCTTTGATAATTCTTATGATTTATTTCTATTTCCAGTGGACAATGATCTGAAATGTCTCTAGGTAGTATTTCCATTTCTACTACCTTAGTAGCTAATTTTTTTGATATCCATGCCAGGTCTATCCTTGACCATGTTTGATGTCGGTAGGAATAAAAGGTGTAATCCTGTTTCTTTTCATTCCTGACTCTCCAGGTATCTTCCAAATCAAATTCCTTTTGGAGATCAAAAATTTTTTGCGGTAATAGCCCCCCTCCATCTCCATTCCTTTTTGTCTTATTCTTGTCTTTTTGCTTGTCCATCACCCCATTGAAGTCACCGATCAGTAAGAGCTCATCAAATTCTGTTTCTCTTAATTTTGTAGATAAAAATTGGATGAATTTAGTCTTTGGGCCATTTGGTGCATATATGTTACATACCAAAATTTTCAAAGTACCCATCAAGATTTTGACTGCTACGCATCTTCCTTCGACATCCTTAAATGCCAATTCTGGTGTCAAATTTTCCTTTATATATGTTACTACTCCTCTTTTCTTCTTTTCGTATGATGAATAAAATGTCTTACCTAATCTTTTGTTTTCCAAATGTGCCACATGTTTGTGGCAGATATGCGTTTCTTGCAATAGAATAATGTCCAGATTCGCCTTTTGTAATTTACCAAATAATTTTTTCCATTTCTGGGGCGAGTTCATACCATTGATATTATTTGAGAAGCATTTAATTTGTCTTTCTGCCATTTTATCCAAGTAAATCTGTGTCCTGTCCTATATCGCCCAAATTCAATTCCAAGATTCCTTGCGCTGTTATGTCCGGACCGTAAGCTCCTTCTCCTAAATCTTCTGATATTGGTACACTACTCCCTTGACTTTTACTAAATCGCCTGTATTCCTCTGGGGTTTCAATTCTTGGCTTTTTCTTCTCTTTACCATTTCCATTTCCATTTCCCGGTGTCAATGCCTTTTTATCTCCTTTCCTTCCTTCGGGCTTTTCCTCTTCTGTTTCCTTCATTAAATTCTCGTAGAAGGACTTAGCCTTTTGTTCCGATGTCAACCAATATCTTTCTTCTTTATACGTTACCATGATACCTTTCGATTCTCTCCCATCGGAATCTAATTGATCTTTTCTTGAGTTCATCTGTAAGGAAGTAGTACTTTCTTCTTCTACTTAAAGTCGATTGTGGAAACTCTTTCAGGACTGCAATCTTGGTTTCTTTATAGTAAACTGGATTCTTATTGCTTCTATATAACACTTCATCTCTAGTTTTTTTTCGTGTAAATTGTACTATCACATCTCGTGGCGTCTTATTTTTCCTAGAGTAAAATGAAGATACTCGATATATTTGATCTAACTCCATCTCCAATTCATCTTCTTCACATTCCAGACATTTTGCTATCAAGTTTGTCATCAATTGGCCAATATCTTCCTCTTTATCTTCTTGAATGTTTCTAAATCTTAAGTAGTAATCCATTTGTTTTTGTAGTAACTTTTCTTGTTCTATTTCCATCTTTTCCTTTTGTCTATCTATACCTTTAATCCTCTTCAACATATGGGATTGTGTTTCCTCCATCTTCTCCTTACTGGTTTTCAGATCCTTTACTTCTCCGTATAAGTGAGTTATATCTTTTTTTATTTGCCCAAATTCCTCTTCCATCTTCTTTTTCATACCTTGAAACTCTTCCGTCATTTTTTTATAGTTCTTTTCTTGCTTATTGAAAAACTCTTCTTGTTTCCGGTGGGTGATGGCGACGGGCAAACCTCGTTGAGAGGGAGCTCCGACGAGGGACCGGCGTAGAGGCGCTGCTGGGTGAGCCTGTTGCTCCCCCACCTTTGCCGGATCGAAGGCAAAGGTGTAGCGAACCCGCTGAGGCTTGTAGTACCCCAAGAACCCCTTTCCCTCAAGGAGGGGGGGTCGAGAGGGTCCGGGCCGACGGGAAGCAAGCGCCCCGCTGGGATCGGGCGAAAGCCCGTTCCAACCGCAGCCAGCCCGCACATAAAGAAAGAAGAAAGAAATAAGAATCTTGGAGGAGAGATACGAGAAGATCTCACCGTCAGGTAACGAGAGAGGATATCTCAGAGCAACGAATGACCAGGAGAGCGGAGAAGTAAAAGAATTAAGGAGTTAAAGAATCATAGAGAGAAATCAAGGGATTTGTGTGAAAGAGTGAGAAGGCTAATTAAAACGGGGATCCGGAAATGAAACAAAGGGACAAATTTGAATAATTTGGAAACATCTTACTAATAATTATTAACTATATATTAACTGCCGTTTGGGAGGAGAGGTTTGGAGAGATAAGAAGTCTGAAAGCCTGGAACTGATTTGAATTTATTGGAAATAAAATATCGAAAATAACAAAGATTAAGTAGCCGCCCGCCAGCCCCTTTTCCCATTCTCCCTCTTCCCCCTCTTCGGTTTGGCAAAAGAAGAAAAGCAGAATATTGACCTTGGGCGCCATATTGTTGTGGCTAGCGATCCCCTTCTTCATAAACAAAGACATGAAGAGAACACAGGAAGTGACGAAGAGAGGAGAGGAAAAGGGAAGTGACGGTAAAAGGAAGAGGAGGGACAAGTAAGAAGAAGGGCAGAAGAGAACTCAGAAGAAGGGCGGAACTATAGAGAGGGAGGAGGAATCATAGAGAAAGAGCGTTACGGAGCGGCGGAAAACGGCAGAAATTGATTTTTTCGAAGTAAATAGACAAAAATAGACACAAAGAAACGGAAATAAATATTACGAGGACGAGAAGCAGACGGGGAGGAGAGCGAGGACGAGAAGAAGACGAGCCACGAGGAAGAGAAGTAGACGAGAATTACAGGAACCAGGACGAGAAGTAGACGAGAACCAGGAAGAGAAGCAGACGAAATAGGGGAAGAGAAGAAACGAGGCAGGGTGTCAGACGGGGTTAGGGAAAGCGAAAGAAGATTAAAGAAGATTGGAGGACCAACTAGATAAGATAAGATAATTGATGAATTGACGATTTAAATATAAAGATAAATAAATAATAATTAATTGAAAATTAAATTAAACATATAGTAAATATTACAATAAAGGAAATAGATTTAAATTGAAGAAGACAAATTAATTATACAGACAAATATATAAATTATATATATATATATACAATCAATAAAATAATATTAATAATTAAATACTTGGAAATAATTATAGAAAATTTTAATGAATTAGCATATAAATTGATTAGAAAGTGCTGTGGAAAATAATAAAGAATAGATGTCATTAAAAGGGAAACAAGAGAAGGAGAAGATTCAGTTAAGAAGAGGTTCTTTGGATACCAGCCTCAATATGGAGAATATTTTGAAAGAAATAAAAAAATTATCTGAAAAACAAGATGTATTAAAAAAGGATATGGCGGATAAACAAGAAGAGTTTTTCCACATCACATTGTTGGCTCATGTTTAACTTGTTGTCCACGAGGACTCCAAGATCTTTTTCACACGTACAGCTCTCGAGCAAGTTGTAGCTCACCCATATCCAGAAAGCACTGTGAGCCCCACCAAAGGTGGATATGAACCAAACTTGGCATAACTACCCATCATGACCAATTTTAGGGAGGGAATGGCAGAGGACGATGGGAGCCAGAAGTGTTTTGGTCTCTTTAGAGTCTCATGTGGAGGGAGCCAGGGTCCAGATCCCTTTTCCTAATTGCGCTCCCATTTTGCAGGCCCTGTTGGAGGAGAAGGTGGCCTACGACCGAAGCACCAGCCGCAACATCTACCTGAACGTAGCAGTGAACACCTTGAAGAAGTTGCGGAGCCTGCTGCCCGGCCCCTCACAAGACACTCACAGTACGTACCGACACCAGAACGTGTATTCTCGCTTCTCGTCCTCCACTTGCGTCTGTCTAAAGCTCACGCAAGTTACTCTTAAAGGGGCTTCTGTGTCCCTCCCTTTTCTCCTCCTGTTACCTTCCTTCCTTCCTTACTTACTTACTTGCTTACTTTTTATGCTGCGAGAGACTGGAATCCTTCCAAGCCTTTGATCGGGAGGTGGGTTTGTCATTGGTTGAGTGACTGAACCTTTTGCCAGCCAAGGGCTCCTCTTCTTCATTCTGGAAAGGATTGCCATAAAGCGTGTCATCTTTCTTATGGCCAGCAGGTGGTACCAACATTTAATCAATGCAATATTGCTCCTTTGCCAAAATGAAGGCAGGACTAGAGCAGAGCTTTCCAAATAGTGTGTTGGGATAATAATAATGATAATAATAATAATAATAATAATAATAATAATAATAATAATAATAATATATTTTATTTATATTCCGCCCTATCTCCCCGAGGGGACTCGGGGCAGATTACCGTACACATATATGGCAAACATTCAATGTCGTTATGCAATTAACAAAGGCAAACAGTACATAAACAGAGGTAAAGGCTTCCCATCTTTTTCCATCTCTGGCATCTGGAGGCTGTGCTCAACTCCGGCCACGGTGGGTGCTGTCTCTCCACCACCCACGACGAGGAGCTTTTTTGTCTTTAGACGTTCTGATCAAATCGCCTGCATGTCCGTATGGGCACCTTTTATTACCTCCTCGTTAAGAGGTACCTATTTATTTACTCACATTACTGTTTTTGAACTGCTAGGTGAGAAGCTAGGCTGATGGTTGGGAGCTCACCCCAACCTGGTCTTGAACTGCTGACCTTTTGATCAGCAAGATTTTCTGCAGCTGGTGGTTTAACCCGCTGTGCTAAAGCCCGGCCCTCTTTGAATTGGGACAAAGCTACAAGCAGTGTTTGGATGCATCCTAGGGAATGTTATCCCCCCCTTTAAACCTCACTTTCTCCGGCATTCCGGCCCCCTTCTCTGTCCACCGCTTGACCCTTGTACCTGCCTTTCTCCTGCAGAGAGTAGCAACCGGAAGTTGGTTTCCCACGAAGCCATGCTGGGAGGGAAGCTGGCGGCCAAGACGAGCTTTTCCTTCAACCGCTCGACATCTGTCCGGGTGGAAGAGCTGACAGGTATGTCTCTCTCAAAGGCCCTTCCTCCGTTGGACAAACTGGACTGAAAGGAAGGAAGTAAGTGACGCCCTGAAAGTCCCACGCTTCCTTCTGTTGCGGGGCTCATTTTCATAAACGGGGAATGCATTTCAAAAAGGGAACAACGACAAATCAGAAGCTTGTACTCGGATATGAACAACTTCAGGGCAGTGTCAAATCTTCCCTTTTTGGACCAGGTTCTGGAATGCATGGTGGCCTCTCAACTTCAGGAGTTTCTGGATGACATGGATTATCTAGATCCATCCCAGTCTGGCTTCAGGCCTGGTTACGGGACTGAGATGGCATTGGTCATCTTGGTGGATAATCTACAGAGAGAACTGGATAGAGGAAGCGTGTCCCTTCTAGTTTTCTTAGACCAGTGTTTCTCAACCTTCCTAATGCTTGACCCTTTAATACAGTTCCTCATGTTGTGCTGACCCTCAACCATAACACTATTTTCGTTGCTACTTCATAACTGTAATTTTGCTACTCTTATGAATTGTAATGTCAYTATCTGATATGCAGACTATATTTTCATTCGCRGGAGCAAATTTGGCACAAATACCCGATATGCCCAAATTTGAATACTGGTGGGGTTGGGGGGAGTGATTTTGTCATTTGGAAGTTGTAGTTGCTGGGATTTATAGTTCACCTACAATTAAAGAGCATTCTGAACTCCACCAARGATGMAATTGAACCAAACTTGGCACACAAAACTCCAATGACCAGCAGAAAATACTGGAAGGGTTTGGTGGGTATTGACCTTGAGTTTGGGAGTTGTAGTTCACCTACTTCCAGAGAGCACTGTGGACTCAAACAATGATGGATCTGGACCAAACTTGGCACGAATACTCAATATGCCCAAATGTGAACGCTGGTGGAGTTTGGGGAAAAGAAAGCTTGACATTTAGGAGTTGTAGTTGCTGGGGTTTGTAGTTCACCTACAATCAAAGAGCATTCTGAACTCTATTAATGATAGAGTTGGGCCAAACTTCCCACACAGAAACCCTATGACCAACAGAAAATATTGTGTTTTCTAATGATATTTGGCAACCCCTCTGACACCCTCCTGGTGACCCTTCCAGGGGTTCTTACCCCCATGTTCAGAAACGCTGGTCTAACCAGAATGGTGATAGGGGGAGAGAAAGGAAGACAGGCAGACAGAGAGGCCAATGGAGGAAGAGCTTTTCCCAATTAATTCATCTACTTGTCTCAAGTCCATGGTGAGGACTACAGCCTTGTGCAGGGTGTGGTGTAGTTTCAACTCCTTCAAAGCACTATAACCCTTTGCTAAGGCCTTTCTCGTTACATGCCATCAAGCCACGTTAGATTTACCCTCCAAGTACAGTATGTAACAAAATTTGAAGAAATGTTCTGTTCCTGGTTTGAAAGTGTGATTTCCTGTTTCATTGTGCGGTCCTAACTTGGTGTAACACTGCAGAGATGGGCAAACAGAGAAATCTCATCCCGTCAGAAAGGACTTTTTCAATATTTCACTATGTAACAAATGTTTCTAAATGTTCTGTTCCAGATCTGAAAGTGTATTTCCTATATCATTGTGCAGTCCTAACTTTGAAAGTAGTTGTTCTACTCCAGAAACTTGCTTTTTGTGGCTGCCACAAACTAGGTTGAATTGGTTGAGACTCTATGACGAGATATTCATTGAAAAACTAGAGCGAACTGTGCTGGAGGATGTCCCTCCCGCAAGAACAAAATTTGTGCCAATTAATACAGTTTTTATGATAGACCCAATTAGGAAATGACACTGATAACCCAGGAACAAAAATCGTCTTACATAGTGTTATTGCTTATTATATACAACTAGCTTGGGTACCTGGCATTGCCCGGGTTATTTGAAAAAGTCATTTTTTTTATTTTACAAAATGCGTAAGGTTGTGGGTGAACTACAACTCACATCATGCTAGGTTAACCCCCTAAAACTCCATGAGTAGTAAAAGTTTGTCATGTTGAGCAAGTTTGCTCTAGATGCCTCGCTGGTGGGGTCCTTGCGGTGTCTGGCTTCAGAATAACCTACAGCTTCCATCATGGTGGGTCAGTCCCCTCAAATCCCTCCAGTAGGTTCAGTTGGTCATAGGGGTTCTGTGTACCAAGTATGGTCCAGATCCATCATTGGTGGTTGTCACAGTATCTCTGGATGTAAGTGAACTACAACTTCCAGAAATGAAAGTCAGTTTTCCTCAAACCCCTCCAGTATTTTCAGTTGGTCATAGTGGTTCTTTGTGCCAAGTTATCATATATTCTGGTGCATAAGACTGCTTTTTAACCCAAGAAAATCTTCTCAAAAGTCGGGGGTCGTCTTATACGCGGGAGTAGTCTTATACACGGGAGTTTTATAGAGTGGGTGCTGTAACTTCCAATCGGATTGGAGAATCTGTGGTTGCCGCATATGGTGGGGGAAGCTCAAAAATGGCAATGGCCATGTCCCTGCCATATGCAGCAACTGTATGAAAGCATTAAGGGCAACGCTGTACAAGTACGGTAGAAGAAAATCCATTCAGCAGGATTCGTGGACTTAATGTGGTCCCGATGGTGAGGTGAAGGGGCGCCTCACTGGGAAGGTGTAAGTGAAGGACGGAGCAAGCTGCAGGCTTCCGAGGTGCCCGGGGTATGGAAAAAAGAGACAGAGGGGCTTTGGGCCCAGACAAACACACCTCTTTTACCTGTCTGACCCGCCCTTGTATCCTATTACCGTACCTCCTCCTCTGCCTCTCAGATCTCGCTCCTGAAGACTGCAGTGAAGCGGTGCAGGTGCGCATGTACAACATCTGAGAGGCAGAGAAGGAGGTACAGTAATAGGAAAATTACCATATTGAAATCAAATCTGATGCTTTTAAAATTTTTATTTGGTGTGCGTTGGAAGAGGGGTAGTCCTATGCGGCGAATATATGCCAAACTATATTTTAACTGGAAAAGTTGGGGGTCGTCTTATATACTCAGTTGTCTTATATGCCGGAATATATAAGTAGGTTCAGATCCCTCGTTGTGTTCTTTGATTGCAGGTGAATTATAAATCCCAGTACGTAAAATGGCTGTAAATCAAGGTGAATCCCCCCCTAATCTCTCCAGTATTTTGCGTTGGTCATGAGGGTTTTTCGTGCCAAATGTGGTCCAGGTCCATTAAGGGGGTCACAGTGTTCTGCCTTGATGCAGGGTGAACTAGAACTTCAATCCTGTTGAGTCAGTTCCCCAAACTGAGAGGATTGGTGATCAATCCTCTCAACTTGCTGTGTGCCATAGCAAAGGGTAGGAAAGGTTTAAGGGAGAGGCATTGGGCAAGGTCATGCACATTTCACACCGATGGAGAGAGAAAAACCCTGGGATGCCTGCCTGTGGTGAACAAAACATCTCAAATCTAGGATAAAATGGTCCCCGAATGAAAGGTGGTGGGCCATAGTGTTTGAGAAGACATTAGCAGGGCTTTGGCTACATGTTCGTGGTGCTCACTCTAACCTGCTATGTCAGTTGAGGAAGTGCCTTTGGAGGCTGCTCAGCACTTGGAACTATAACTTGTTTGTGGAGGCAGGAGGCTGTCTGTGTAACTGGAGAATCCCCACCACATATACTGTACACATACACATTTTCACTATGTGTATAGGTAAAGGTAAAGGTTTTCCCCTGACGTTAAGCCCAGTCGTGTCTGACTCTGGGTTGTGGTGCCCATCTCCATTTCTAAGCCGAAGAGCCGGCATTGTCAGTAGACACCTTCTAGGTCATGTGGCCGACAAGACTGCAAGGAGTGCTGTTACCTTCCAAATATGACAGCCTCAGTTTAGGCCTTTTCGAGGGAGAAATCAGGCTTGCAGTTGGACCCGTAACTTTGTCTTTTGGAGAGGAATCTGTGATGTCCATAAACGTTGGTTTCCATATGACATTTGCAGTGAGTGCTGAAAGCCCTTAAGACGCCAGGCTGATTATCTCCTGTGAAGGCATTCCACCAGAAGCATTCAAAATCCTTGGGTCTTTGCCTGGTAAGAACTAGGAGGTCCTTGTCATCCTCAGGGCCCACCTTGTACCAACGGCTCAAGGAGTATCTGCTGACGGAGGATGACTTGAAGTTGCATGGTTATCCTTTACCGTGTGCCGAGAAGCCCGGCCGCGCCGTGGTGTTCTCTGCGGAAGAGAAGAAACCCAGTGACGGTGAGTCCCGTTCGAAGTTGAGCTCTGGAATACAAGCTGCCCAAACACCCAACTTGCAAATGACTCATAGTTAAAAATGGGCTGAGATAGTTAGAGGAATCTTCCCCTCAGAAGGGAAATCCACTCATGAAAGAGTTATTACTGGGGGAAAGGAGTCTCAACTGAAGCTTTATCTCCAATCCTTGTTTCCACAACAAGCCAAATTTTCCAAAATCTAATTCTCACAGGGACAGAAAGTGAGGTGAAATCTTCGGAACAGGAACACAACCAGCAACGGAAGCACCACGGTGTTGCTATGTGATCCACAGCTGAACAATAAATATTTTCGGTTGGAGTTACACTTGCAAAATATCTCTGTTCCAACTTACATACAAATTCAGCTTCAGAATAAACCTACAGAACCTATCTTGTTCGTAACTTTGGGACTACCTGTACAGTCACCGTTGCGGCCTTTGTGGATTTGATTCAAACTCACATTGCCAGCAAAGTTGTACAGGATGGCCTAGAAATCCTAACCGGGGTGGGAGGGAGGGAGGCAGGAGGGAGGGATTTATTTATTTATCGTGTCAGAAGCAAATTGAGAAAACAGTTACCATATTTTTTTAAACCCACCACAAACAAAGTTTAAAACTTGGCATTATGCTAAATGTCCTTTGAGCAGAAGCTGGCCACTTAAAGTGTCTCTGTTGTGGCTGCGAGAAGGTCCTCCATTGTGCATGTGGCAGGGCTCAGACTGCATTGTAGTAGGTGGTTTGTGGTTTGCTCTTCTCCACACTCACATGTTGTCGACTTTACTTTGTGGCCCCATTTCTTAAGATTGGCTCTGCATCTCGTGGTGCCAGAGTGCAGTCTGTTCAGAGCCTTCCAAGTTGCCCAGTCTTCTGTGTGCCTGGGAGGGAGTCTCTCATCCAGTCTCAGCCACTGATTGAGGTTTCAGGTTTTAGCCTGCCACTTTTGGACTCTCGCTTACTGAGGTGTTCCTGCAAGTATCTCTGTAGATCTTACAAAGCTATTTCTTGATTTAATGCATTGGCATTCTGGCTGATATCCGAACAGAGGATGGGCCGGAGATGTCACTGCCTTGGTCCTTTCATTATTGGCTGCTACTTCCTGGCAGATATCAGGTGGTGTGATACCTGTTAAAGAGTATATTTTTTCCAGTGGTGTTGGGCGTAGACATCCTGTGATAATGCGGCATGCCTCATTAAGAGCCATATCCACTGTTTTAATGTGGTGAGATGTATTCTACACTGGGCGTAAGTATTCAACAGCAGAGTAGCAAAGCGCAAGGGCAGATGTCTTCACTGTGTCTGGTTGTGATCCCCAGGTTGTGCCAGTCAGCTTTTGTATGATATTATTTCTAGCATCCACTTTTTGCTTGATATTCAAATAATGCTTCTTGTAAGTCAGAGCATGGTCCAGAGTGACTCCCAGGTATTTTAGTGTGCTGCAATGCTCCAGTGGGATTCCTTCCTAGGTGATCCTCAGAGCTCGAGATGCTTGTCTCTTCTTAAGATGAAAAGCATACTTCTGCATTTTCGATGGATTAGGAACCAGCTAGTTTTCCCTGTGATAGGCAGTAGGAGCACATGAAGGTTTGGAGAGCTTCTATTCAACCATTCCAAATCTCCCTGCTTGGGCAGTGATGGCACGATCGTCAGCATAGATGAAACTCTCTGTCCATTCTGACAGTGGCTGGTTGTTTGTGTAAACGTTGAACATTGATGGAGTAAGCACACCCCCCTGAGGCAGGCTGTTCTTCTGTTTCTGCCATCTGCTCCTCTGATTCTTTAAGAATCTCCAGTTCAACATCTGGTTCTTTTTTTTAAATAGATTTGCAATCTTCCCGCTTTTGCAGCTCTAACCCAACCGAATGCAAAGAGCTAATTAGTTCTCATATCTCTTTGGTTTTTTTTACATGTCCATAGTGTTCATTTTGAAATAACAATGTCTGCTTTGGGGAAGTGGAATAATAATCTAAGTCTCCTCCTTCTGTGTTGCTTCTGGTTTTGGAACCAAATTTTACCTTGTTCAAAAAAAAACCCCTCTTTGATTTGCATATATAACGGCTTTCCTGTTGTTTTAATGTTTCTAGGTTTTTGCCGGATTTGCTGCCGTTGTGGCACCGAATACATGGTGACGCCGTCTGGGAACTGCGTCCGTAAAGAAGAGTGTGTCCATCACTGGGGCAGATTGCGGAAACAGAGAGGTACTCCCTGTTATTATTATCTTTTAAAAATCCAATATATTCTGAGTTTGGGCCCTCTGTGACAGCCAGGGCCTCTAACAACAAGCGAAAGGGTATAACGGTCCCCATTCAAAACAGATAGTTCACAGAATTGTCAAATATTCAAAGGAACAAGCAGGAGGATAAGCCAAATGTCCATTCCAGGCTCAAGAGCCAATTACCAGTAATTGAAACAATAAGGTTGAGTCCACAAGTCCAAAGCCGAAGTCCAAGAGCAGTCCAAGATTCCAAGAGGTTGCAGTCAGGAGTCAGGTAACACCCTGCAAACCCTTAAATGCTGCTTTCACGGCTGATCCTGACTGCCAGCCTTCTTCTCAAAAAAGCCATGCTGATCTCTTTAGCGGAGCCTTTTCTTTCCTTAGTTCCACAAAGGAAGGCACCGTGAACTCTTCCTCGGCCTGCTCAACTGAAGCCTCTTATGTTTGGCTGGCAGGCTGAGAAGTTGTTCCACGCACAGTGGTCACCGCTTAAAACAAAACAAATGCAAACATTCAAAGGTGATTCAATAGTACTCTGTGAATTTGAGGTTAGAATACAGTTCAAAAATAATAAAGACCATTAAAATTCAATTTAAAGTTCACAGTCCTACAGACAGCCTCCCCTGCAGGAGGCCCTTCATCCAAGGCTTCTCAGTTCTCAGTGTCTATGCCACAGTTTTTAAAGTTAGCTTTTAAGCCCATCTTTCAATCTCTTTTCCTGTCCAACAACATTCATTTTTCTGTTCTTGAGTTAGGAGACGGTGGGAGACGGTGATTGGGCATGGCATTCAGTCTAGCGCAATTGCTGGATTAGGTCTGGTGGTCTTTGCTTCTTCCAGCACACTGACATTTGTCTGCCTGTCTTCCCAATAGATTTGCAGGATTTTTAGGAGTCAACACTGATTTATTTATTTATTTAATATTTTTGAATGCCGCTCTTCTCAGCCCTTGGGCGACTCAGAGCGGTTAACAATAGCAAAATTCAATGCTCAAAAACATAATAAAACAGTTAAAAGTAATTAAAACAGTAGCATAATAAACAGTCAGTATAAATCAATGGAACATCTCATTAGCATCTCATAGTTAAAATCAAGATCCAGTCTCATCATCCAATTGTTCCATATTCCTATGTCCGTTACACTGCCTATTCAAATGCCTGCTTGAACAACCAGGTCTTCACTTTCCTCCGAAATGTCAACAGGGAGGGGGCCGATCTAATATCTGTAGGAAGGGCGTTCCATAGCCGAGGGGCCACCACTGAGAAGGCCCTGTCTCTCGTCCCCGCCAAACGTACTTGTGACGCAGGCGGGACCAAGAGCAGGGCCTTTCCAGATGATCTTAACACCCTAGCTGGTTCATAGGAGGAGATGCGTTCGGACAGGTAAGTTGGGCCAGAACCGTTTAGGGCTTTATAGGCTAAAGCCAGCACTTTGAATTGTGCCCGGTAGCAAACCGGCAGCCAGTGGAGCTGGCGCAACAGAGGAGTTGTATGCTCCCTGAGCGCTGCTCCCGTTAGTAACCTGGCTGCTGACCGTTGACTCATTCCAGGAGTTGAGTGTGACGTCTGTAGACAGTCTGCGTTTTGCAGGCATATAACAGGGTTGGGAGGACAATAGTTTTATAAACAAGCGCCTTGGTATCCCTACGGATGTCCCGGTCCCCAAACACTCTGTGCTTCATTTGGAAGAATGCTGCACTCACAGAACTCAGGTGGTGTGGTATTTCAATGTCAGTGTTGACTTTTGTGGAGAAGTGGCTGCCAAGGGAGCGGAAATGGTCAACATTTTCTAATGCTACACCATTAAGCTGTATTTCTGACATTGCAGTGGGATTGGCTGTTGCCTGCTGGAAGAGCACTTTGGTTTTCTCAATGTTCAATGAGAGGCCGAGTTTCTCATATGCTTCTGCAATATGGTCCATGGCCTCACCATTACCACACTGTTGCCTTGAAACCACATGGCAACGAGAACATCTGGTTTCTCAAAACCCTCTTATAGTGCTGAGGCAACGGGGATGTTGGGAGGGGAGAAGCTGACTACCTATGAAAGACTACTACATCAGTTCTAGATTATTAAATATGGTTTTCTGTGGTTGAGCAGATGGTGACTACTGGATGGCATATGTTCTGTATCAGAAGCTAGAGCTCATGTGTTCTATCCAATGCAGTTTTCTGAATCAGTACCCCAAATAACCAAACCAAATCTAAAGTTGACCAAAACCTGATTCATGACCCTTTTGGTAGTAATGTAGGAGAGTGGTCCCTGGTCAAAAAAAGGTTGGGAACCACTGCAGTATACACATATATAGGCAAACATTCAGTGCCTCCAAGCGCCATCCCAGAAAGGCAGCCCAGAATTATACCATTGAAGAGGACTAGGGCTAAGGTAGTGATGGGGAAAAATACCAGCTGAGACAATAAGGCAATTGAAGTGGAAAAATACTGGCCAAAACAGATAGCTCAGATGAGGGAAAACTTCAGAAGATTTTTGCCTAGTCACAAGGAAGAAGGAAAATGGAAGCTGCTCAGGAAGCAGGCACAAGGATACTGATAAGAGAGAACAAAGGAAGAGAAAAGTTCACCGAGCTTTGTGCATGCTCAAAGTTTGACTATAAAGCTGAGTCTTATTTTTGGTGTGGCACTCTCCATCCAGCAAGGTGTCTTGATCAATTAAACTTGTTGCAACAATTTATTTATTATTTATTTATTTAAAAACTTTTCTATCCCGATCTTCTCACCTCCGTAGAGGGGCTCAGACTGGCTTACAGCAAGAATTCAGTTCTACAAATACAAGTTAAAACATCATACAACAATGCAAGATTAAAATACATCTAGATAAAATACATGTATACCAAATCGCCAAGGTAAAATCATGTTCAACTCAGTCCGCATATGTGGTCACTCACTTTGGTCTGTAACCAGTCTCAGCCAGTATTCTGGGAATGCTTCGTTCCATAACCAGGATTTCACTAGCCTCCTGAAGGACAAGAGGGAGGGGGCAGATCTAATCTCGCTTGGGAGAGAGTTCCATAGTCAAGGGGCCACCACAGAGAAGGCCCTGTCTCGTTCCCACCAAATGTGCTTGCAAAGGTGGTGGGACCGAGAGCAGGGCCTCTCCAGAAGATCTTAACGTCCGTGATGGTTCATAGAGGAGAATGTGTTCGGACAGGTAAGCTGGGCCGGAACCCTATAGGGATTTATGAGTTAAAACCAGCACTTTGAATTGTGCTTGGAAGCTAATTTGTGGAAGTTGTGCGCTCCCTGTACCCAGCTCCCGTCAGTAGCCTAGCTGCCGAGCGCTGGACTAATTGCAGCTTCCGGGCAGTCTTCAGAGGCAACCCCACATAGAGAGTGTTGCCTTCAGTGTTTAATAGAACAAAAACTCTGAAGGTTTGGGGCTAATTAATAAGAGTAAACAGCAGCAAGTCCCAACACCATGATGATGGTATCGAAAGCCACTGAAAGCTCCAGGAAAACCAGCGGGGAGGCACCTCTTCTGTTCAGTTCTCTCCAAATGTCGTCTACCAAGGCAAACAAAGCTCTCTCTGGCCCAAAACCAAACTGAAACACATAATAAGGCTCCATATCTCACAAATGTTGATGCTGATGGCTATTCTCTTTTCTTCATTCTCAGTTCCAGGGGGCTGGGAAACACATTACAGCTGCTGCTCTGGCGCAGTGGGATCACCTGGCTGCCAGGTTGCCAAGGTAAGTCAGCTGATTTGCTCTCACTACCAGCCTCACATGGTGCTGCTTTGCCTCGGCTTCTCCTCCTCCAGTGATTCCCTCCTGTTTCCCCCCTCAAGCAACACGTCCAAGATGGACGGAAGGACAACCTGGAGGGTTTCGTCAGGACCTTTGAGAAGCTCCCCAGCGCCGACGGCTACCCGGGTATCTACGCCTTGGACTGCGAAATGGTGAGCGAGACTCGAAGAATGGGATGGGCCATTGAACCAGGAATGGCATCTTAATAATAATAAACAACTTTATTTGTATCCTGCCACCATCTCCCCAAGGAGACTCAGGGCAGCTCATAAAGGGACTCCAAGGTGCAGCATATAATATAAAACAGTAAAACGTAAAATTATAACAACAACCACTACCAATACAAATAATATAAATTAAAATTGCTTTTATAATGCAGAACATCTGTAGATAAAACTAGCTGCCAGCAATTCACAAACTACAGTGCCACAGTGTCAACCTCATATAGGTCCATTACAGCCTACTCGAGGTCAAAGGCCTGTTTAAAAATCCATGTTTTTAGGTTGGATTGGAGGGTGGAGACTAACCTTACTCTCTTTTGGGAGAGTATTCCAGAGCCGGGAAACCATCACCGAGAAGACCCTCTCTCTTGTCCCCACCAACCGTGCTTGAGATGGAGGTGGGACTGAGACGAGGGCCTCCCTGGCAGATCTCAAAGCCCATGTTGGTTCGTAGAAAGATATGCGGTCTCGAAGATAGGTTGGACCTGAAGCGTATAGGGCTTTATAGATGATAACCTGAAGCTTTAATTGAGCCCAGAAACTAGTCTGAAGCGATTGGAGCTGTTTTAGTAGGGGCATTGTATAGCCCCAGTTAGTAATCTGCCTGCCGACCTTTACGCTATCTGCAGTTTCTGATCCGTCTTCAAAGGCAGCCCCACATAGAGTGCCTTGTAGTAGTCCATTCTGGATGTCACTAAGGGGCGGACCATCATGGCCAAGTCAGCTGGCGCACAAGTTTTAACTGTGTGAAGGTCTTCTCGACCACCGCCGACACCTGAGCCTCAAGCGTCAGCATTGAATCTAGGAGGAGCCCCAGACTGCAGACCTGTGTCCTTAGGGGGAGTGTAACCCCATCCAGCACAGGTTGCCATCCTAGACCTCAGTCAGCCTCGTGACTGACCAGGAGGACCTCTGTCTTGTCTGGATTAAGCCTCAGTTTGTTGGCCCTGATCCAGTCCATCATAGCTGGCAGGCACTGGTGCAGGATCCAGGGAGCTTCCTTGGAATGAGGTGGAGTAGCAGAGTTGAGTGTCATCTGCGTAGAGATGGCACCCAACTCCAAAACTCCAGATGACTTCACTCAGCGGTTTCACGTAGATACTGAAAAGCATGGGGGAAAGAATAGAGCTTTGCGGGACCCCACAGGTCAATGACCAGGGGTCCGAGCAAGTGTCCCTTGGCATCACCATCTGGGTCCGGTCCTCCAGGAAGGAGTGGAGCCACTGCAACACAGTGCCCCCAAAACCCATTCCAGAGAGCTGACCCAGATTTTCCGTTTTGGGCGACGCCAAAAATCTCCCCAATGTCATGGATCACACTATGTAGCACAATTTTTGTTCCTGAGTTATAAATGTTATTTCCTAATTGTTCTGTCATAAAAACATGGGAAAAGTTTATTAAACTGCTGAAACTTTGTTTTTGAGCGACATCTTGCAGCACATTTTCCTATAGCTTTTCAATATCTCATTGGCGTCTCAACCAATTCAGCCTTGTTTGTGGCAGCCATAAAAACAAAGTTTCTGGAGTAGAACAACTACTTTCAAAGTTAGGACTACACAATGATATAGGAAATACACTTTCAGATCTGGAACAGAACATTTAGAAACATTTGCTACATAGTGAAATGTTGAAAAAGTCCTTTCTGACAGGACGGGATTTCCCTTTGTTTGCTCTACCTCTGCAGTGTTACACCAAGCAAGGCCTGGAGTTGACGCGGGTCACGGTTATCGACTCAGACCGGAAGGTAGTCTATGACACCTTTGTCAAGCCAGACCACAAAGTGGTGGACTACAACACGAGGTGAGGGCCCCTGGCCATTGCATATCGTTACGGGGTACCCCTATTGTGCCACTTCACAGTTTGGGAGAGGCTGTGGCTATTAAGAGCCTTAAAGACCTGCTTCTGGACCTCATTGTCAGAGACCCTTACAGTTTCCGAAGTTTTGGGACTCAATTTGGCCCCAGGCTCCCACAGCTTCGGTTTAGATAAGCAAAGGAAGAGTCGACCTTCTCTTGAAGGGGAACCCGTTCTGCTGTGGCTTTTCCTTTGCACAGGATTTGTGCATATATATATACTTATTGAGTCTAGTGCACCATTGAAATTAAAGGCGCACCTCCATTTTCTGAATCCTGAAACCGAAAAAAGTATTTGCTGCCGAATGTAATGTTTAACGGCAAAAAGAGCTCTCTTTGTAATATGATCGAAAAAGGTTTGCATTACAGTTGCTGCCTGCTTAGGATTCCTTCCTTATAAACAAAAGTGTTAGGCCACCAAAGCTTCCAGAAATAAAGAAGAAAACCTTGAAGGGGTCACTATGCTGTAGAATGAATCCCAATCTCTCTTGGAGTTAGGGGGGTGCGACTATTACGTGAGGAAAAGAATCTGCCTTCAGTCAACAACTGCCATTAGGTATTGTTGTGGACTCTATAGAACTTTCTTGTCCATTCTGTTATCCATTCAGAAGCAGATTTGTACTGTGATACTGACCATTCAGAAGCGGCGATTTCCGAACTTATATGGCTGACACCGGTCTTGTCTTGGCAGGTTTTCTGGTGTGACTGCGGCGGACCTGGAGAATGCCACCATCTCCCTCCGGGATGTCCAGGCCGTGCTGCTGAGCATGTTCAGTGCAGACACAGTTCTGATCGGGCACAGCTTGGAAAGCGACCTGTTTGCACTCAAGGTACACAATGCAGACATAAGATCCTAGAGTGGGAAGGGACTCCAAAGGACCATCCAGTCCAACCCCCTTCTTCCATGCAGGAAAAACACAATGAAAGCACGCCTGAAAGGAGGCCATCCAGTCTCTGTTTTAAAACCTCCAGGGAGCAGCATATTCCATTGCTGAATTTACAGTATTTACAGTATTTATATTCTGCCCTTCTCACCCAGAAGAGGATTCAGAGCGGATCACAGAACAAATCACGGCAAATATTCAATGCTGGTTATGCAATGACAAAACAGACAAAACAAATAGAGGTGTATATATAGGCTTTCCCATCTTTCTGCATCTTGGAGGGTGTGCTCGGTTCTGAGCATGGGGCGGGGTGGTGGTGGTTGTGCTGTCGCTCCATATTCCCTGCCAAAGAGCTTTTTGTTCGTAAACTTCCTCTTTTTTTGATAGAATAGCACTTACCTGAATATCCACTTTCAACGCAGTCCCTACTTATCTACTCACATTGCTATTTTCAGTCTGCTAGATGGGCAGGGAACTGGGCTGAAGGTTAGGAGCTCACCCTGATCCAGGCTACGAACTGTCAACCTTCTGGTTGTAAGATTTACTGCAGCTGGTGATTGACCTGCTGTGCTAAAGCCTGGCCCAGCTCTTAGTGAACAGCTCTTAGTGTAAGGAAGTTCTTCTTAACGTTTAGGTGGGATCTTTTTTCCCTGATATTTGAACCCATGGCTCCATTGTGCCCTAGTCTCCAGAGCAGCAGACAATTAAGCTTGGTCCCTCCTCAATGAGTACGTCCGTTCAAATATTTAAACATGGCTCTCATTTCCCCTTTTCCTCAGCCTCTTCTTCTCCAAGCTACACATCCCCAGCTGCTTCTCAGAGAGGCTTGGATTCCAAAACTTTGGGTCATTTGTTCAGAGGCGGTTTTGCACATTGGGATGAAAGCACATAGAGAAATAATGTCTTAATATGGGTCACTCTTTGGACTTTTTTACCCAGCTTATCCACTGCACGGTAGTGGACACATCCGTGGTCTTCCCTCACCGCCTGGGCTTGCCTTATAAGCGGGCGCTGCGCACTCTGATGGCAGACTACCTCAAGCGCATCATCCAGGACAGCGGTAAGGAAGAACTGGAGGAAGGAGGGGACGTTGATGGTTGGGGCCCAAACGAGGCTATTTCCCCCCAAATAGGAGTCCTATACTCCCCATGATTTTTCGCTCCTTTGGTTCCCAAAAGTCTAGCTTTGTAGAGAACAAGACGTTGCCTTAAAAGGCCTTTGAATTTATACCGTATTTCATTTTATAATGGTCGCACTTTTGTCCCTTCTTTAAATCGAAAAAGAGGATGCGACAATTACGTGAGGAAAAAAATCTACCTTTGAATCTCTGATTTCTGTTTCATTTAAAGCAGTGGTTCTCAGCCTGTGGCTTCCCATATGTTTTGGCCTACAACTCCCAGAAATCCCAGCCAGTTTACTAGCTGGTAGAATCTCTGGGATTTGAAGGCCAAAACATCTGAGGACCCACAGATTGAGAACCACTGGTTTAAAGACAGGAGGAGGAAGAGGAGGGATGATCCAGTCTCAAACATACACCTCTGCTTCTGTTTATTTTTTAAAATGCTTTGCCTCAGTCAAAGGAGGAGGAAAGAAGCCTCCCTCCCTCCCTTCTTTCCTTCTCCAAAGGCAAGGCAGTTTCCAAAATCTATGCCCCTCTTCTCTTGAGCTGGTCATAGACCAGTATTTCTTGACCTAGGGTTGGGACCCGTGGGATGTCGTGAGGGGGTGTCAGAGGGATTGCCAAAGACCATCATAAAAAAAATATTTTCTGTTGGTTATAGGGGTTCTGTTTGGGAAGTTTGGGTGAATTCTGTCATTGGTGAGGTTCAGAATGCTCTTTGATTATAGGTGAACTATAAATCCCAGCAACTACAACTCCCAAATGTCAAGGTTTATTTTCCCCAAACTCCACCAGTGTTCAAATTTGGGCATATTGAGGATTCGTGCCAGGTTTGGTCCAGATCCATCATTGTTTGAGTCCACAGTGCTCTCTGGATGTAGGTGAACTACAACTCCCAAACTCAAGGTTAATGTCCACCAAACCCGTCTAGTATTTTCTGTTGGTCATGGGAGTTCTGTGTGCCAAGTTTGGTTCAATTCAATCGTTGGTGGAGTTCAGAATGCTCTTTTATTGTAGGTGAACTATAAATCCCAGCAACTACAACTCCCAAATGACAAAATCAGTCATCCGTCCCCCCCAAAACCCCACCAGTATTCCAATTTGTGCATATCGGGTACCTGTGCCAAATTTGGTCCAGTGAATTAAAATGCATCCTGCATATCAGATATTTACATTATGATTCATAACAGTAGCAAAATTACAGTTATGAATTAGCAACAAAAATAATTTTATGGTTGGGGGTCACCACAACATGAGGAACTGTAGTAAGGGGCCACGGCATTAGGTAGGTTGAGAATCTAATATTATCTAATCTAATATTATTCGAGGAACACAAAAATACCAGTTTTGCTAAACCGAAAGAACAACGATGTGTATGAATGCGCGACTATTATGCGATGAAATATGGCGTGTATCGTTTGTGTTGCCTCACAGGGTAAAATTTATCCTTTTTTTTCTTCTCTCTTTTCCGGCAGTGGAAGGCCATGACTCCAGCGAGGATGCGAGGGCCTGCATGGAGCTGATGATCTGGAAGATCAAGGAGGACGCCAAAGTCAAGCGATGACGGGTGGCTCGCCGATGCTCTCCTTTCCCCGTCCGTTGGCACAGTGCAATAACCGAAGCTTCCTGAAGGAAGGAAGGAAGGAAGGAACTTTCTTCTTCAGGAATAAGGAGGAAGTGGCCGCTGCTTCTTTTAGTGACAAAACATGTCCGACTCCTTCCAAGATTTTCTGGAACCCCTTTCTTCCAGCTCTAAGAGAGCATTTGGAGGCTGATCAGTTTGGGAAATAAACCCTAAGATGCACTGAACTTCTTCCTTCCTTTCCCCCCTTTCCCCCTTTTATTTATGAACTTTATCAAACTCTAGCTTCTACTTTAGGTTCTTAATTTAATTGGAAGCCGTGGGTTAGACGGAAGGGCGTTGTGTCGTAGCCGGAGGGATCCTTCCGAAAGCATGAAATTGTGGAGAGAGATGGCAAGTTGTAGGACAAGTTGGTCGCCTTTTGTCCAGAGAATGGAGACCCTTCTGTCTCTTCAATCTGCGATTCTCCAGGGGTTTGGGCTTCCAACTCCCAGATGCCCCTATTTCCAGCTATTTCAACGGTCAGGAATTCTGGGAGCTAAAGTCCAAAACACTTGGGGGGGGGGCAGGTTGAAGAGGCCTGCCTTAGCAGAACAGTAAACTCAAAAGAGGGGAAGGGTTCCCCATTGGTCAGCAAGACTTTCACCTTTGTGTGGACACATTCCCACCCGTCAATGTGGAAGCCACAATTTTGGTCCCACTTCGGATTATCTGGCAAAAACCAGCCCTTAAAAATACATACATATATATATATATATATAAAATCTTAAATTGGCACAAGTATCAGTGCATGATATTATTTAGAAATCGAGAGACTTTTGGGGCATGGTTGCCTATAAAAACAAAATTATTGGCACTATAAGCGCCTAGTTTCTTATATCTCATTGCTTTCCCTCCACACTAAGGACTCTTAGTTCTAGTTCGGCAGGGACCCTTGGGAGTTCTAGTTTTGGCAGGAACTCTGGAGTTCTAGTCCAGCAGAGACCCTTGGGAGTTCTAATCTGGTGGGGACGCTTGAGAGTTCTAGTCCAGCAGGGACTCTTGGGAATTCTCGCTCGTGGATCCTTGGGAGTTCTAGTTTGTCAGGGACACTTGGAACTTCTAGTCTGGCAGAGACCCTTAGGAGTTCTAGTCTGGTGGGGACTCTTGGGAGTTCTAGTTGGGCAGGAACCCTTGGGAGTCTTCACTTGGGGATCTTTGAGAGTTCTAGTCTTGTGAGGACCCTTAGGAGTTCTAGTTTGGCAGGGACTCTTGGCAGTTCTTGCTCAAGGATCCTTGGGAGTTTTAGTCTGGTGGGGAACCTTGGGAGTTCTAGTTCAGCAGGGATTATTGGGAGTTCTAGTTTGGCAGGGCCCCTTGGGAATTCTTGCTCGGGGATTCTTGGGAGCTGTAGTTCAGCAGGATCTCAGGAGTTCTAGTTCAGCAGACACCCTTGGGAGTTCTAGTCTGGTGGGGATCCTTGGGAGTTCTCACTCAGGGATCCTTGGGAGTTTTAGTCTGGTGGGGAACCTTGGGAGTTCTACTTCAGCACAGATTCTTGGGAGTTCTAGTTTTGCAGCCCCCCTTGGGAATTCTTTCTTGGGGATCCTTGGGAGTTCTAGTTTGGCGGGGACCCTTGAGAGTTTTAGTTCAGCAGGGACCATGGGAATTCTAGGTCAGCATGGACCCCTGTTTGGCACAGACTCATGGAAGTCATAGTTTCCCTCGCTCATCAGGAAAATCGGTCTCATTTGCAGCATCAAATTATTGAACGCCTTCAGTAAGACCCTTCTCTGGCCGTATGCCAATGAAATGCAAAGATCAGTCCTAAAGAATATATCCTTGCTACGCTATTCCAGAATAATAATTATGGGTCTTCTCCCTCCCCCCTTTTTTAGAAAATTGTTTGGCACAGGCATCATTTAGAAAGCAGTGAGACTTTTGGGGACATGGCTGCCTATAAAACCAAGCTGCTATTTGCACTATAAGCTCTTCCTTGTTTATATCTCACCGCTCCTCTTCTGCCCGACAGGCGGTCTGTTTATTTCCTTCTTTCGCCACCGTTCGAAGCCATCTCTCTCCTCCCTTTCAAATCAAAATGCGTCGTTTGCATCCACCAGTTTCCTCTTCTGTCGTTGACCCACTTTCCCTTTGTTTACGATACCCTTCTTGTTTTGTAACACTATACAATTAAATAAACCAACAACCCATGGACTTTGTACATGCCCAACTGTATACCAGGTTAACACTATTTTGTAATTTTTTAAAAATAAAACAAAAACCCTGTTTTCCGAAGTGTGATGGTTGCAGAAAATATATCCTACTGTTCTGGCTGAATTCTTACTGGGAAAGAGTATCAGTGGGGAATATATCCTACTGTTCTGGCTGAATTCTTACTGGGAAAGAGTATCAGTGGGGAATAACATTCCGATTCATTTCAAGTCGGAAGTATGCAATTGATACCAAAGAGCATCAAGCGAAATGGGATCATAATTTTTCCCTAATATTTCAATGCTAACCAAGCTGGCCAATTGCAACATTTACACCATATTGGAAGACTTAGATGATGATGATGATGATGATGATGATTATATATTATTACTATATTATAATATTGTTATATTATGATGATAATTATTATTATATTACTAGTTTGGGACCCCAGCGTTGCCTGGGTTATTAGAAAAAGTCAGTTTTTAAATAGGTTCTTGTGGGTTTTTTCGGGCTATAGAGCCATGTTCTAGAGGCATTTCTCCTGACGTTTCGACTGCATCTATGGCAAGCATCCTCAGAGGTAGTGAGGTCTGTTGGAATTAGGACAATGGGTTTATATATCTGTGGAATGGCTGGGGTGGGGCAAGGAGCTCTTCCCTGCTGCAGCTAGGTGTGAATGTTTAGCTGATCACCTTCATTAGCATTTGAAGGCCTGCCTGAGTCTGGGAAAATCTGTTGCTGGGAGGTGTTAATCTGTGCCTGGTTTTTTCCTCTCTGTTGTTTAGCTGTTATAATTTTTTAGTTTTTTAATACTGGTAGCCAGATTTTGTTCATTTTCATGGTTTCCTCCTTTCTGTTGAAATTGTCCACATGCTTGTGGATTTCAGTGGCTTCTCTGTGTAGTCTGACATGGTGGTTGTTAGAGTGGTCCAGCATTTCTGTGTTCTCAAATAATATGCTGTGTCCAGGTTGGTTCATCAGGTGCTCTGCTATGGCTGACTTCTCTGGTTGAAGTAGTCTGCAGTGCCTTTCATGTTCCTTGATGCGTGTCTGGGCGCTGCGTTTGGTGGTCCCTATGTAGACTTGTCCACAGCTGCATGGTATACGGTAGACTCCTGCAGAGGTGAGAGGATCCCTCTTGTCCTTTGCTGAACGTAGCATTTGTTGGATTTTCTTGGTGGGTTTGTAGATTGTTTGTATGTTGTGTTTCCTCATCAGCTTCCCTATGCGATTCAAAATGAATAAGGTTGTGGGTGAACTACAACTCACACCACGCCAGGATCACCCAGAGAACCCATCAGTGCTTAAAGTTTGTTATGTTGAGCAAGTTTGCTCTATATGCATCATCGGTGGGGTTCAGCGTGCTCCCTTGCTGTAAGGTAAACTACAACTCCCACAGTGAGTCAGTGATGTATCGGTGAATAATGCATGCAGATCCCAATAGGGTGGCCTTTTGCAGCTGACAGATGGTAATTTTCTCAGTGCCGATTGTCTTTAAGTGCAGGCCAAGGTCTTTAGGCACTGTACCCAGTGTGCTGATCACCACTGAGACCACCTTTACTGGCTTGTGCCATTATTATTATTATTGTTATTGTTATTGTTATTTGAAATGCAACAACATGAGTCTACAGCAGACACTCTGTTGACTGTTGTATTGAATTACATGTCAGACACTTCCCAAGTGTCTAGAACTGTGTGATGTATTGGCAAATAATGTGTGCAGATCCCAGTAAGGTGCCTTCTGCAACTGGCAGATGGTAATTTTGTCAGCGCCGATTGTGTTTAAGTGCAGGCCAAGGTCTTTAGGCACTGCACCCTGTGTGCCGATCACCACTGGGACCACCTTGACTGGCTTGTGCCAGAGTCTTTGCAGTTCAATCTTTAAATCCTCATATCGTGTCAGCTTTTCCAGTTGTTTCTCTTCAATCCTGCTTTCACCTGGGATTGCAACATCGAGAATCCGTACTTCGTTTTTTAACACGATCGTGAGGTCAGGATTATTATTATTATTATTATTATTATTATTATTATTATTATTTGTACCCATGTTTTCTCCCTGAAAAAGAAACTCTAAGAGGCTTACAATAAAAAAACAACAATGCAATGTAAAGCCTAAAATATATACAAATATTAAAATAGAATTAAATACTAACAGCATTAAAAATAGACCCTTAGAACCTAGAAAATTTCTAGATACATATATGCGATACACAGAGACCCACATATATACAATGTTCACTCAGTTGGACTCAATGTCCTCAACCCAATTGAGCTCTCTTTTGATGGAAGGCAGACAAAACCCAGGCAGTTGTTTTTATTGCTCTGTTTTGCAGTAATTTCTGCACAGAGTTGAAGGGGAAAATGGACAAACTGGAAAGGCAGGAAAAATCAGGAACCAGGTAGGATACGTGGTCTTTAGCATATCTTTCCAGCCTGACCTCTATCATAAACTGGTATTCATAGGGGTCGGTGATACAGTTGTAGGATCCTCACGTTGGAGGAGACCCCCAAAGGTCATCCAGTCTGACCTCTTTATGCCCTAAAGGAGACACCATCCAATCCCTCCCGACAGATGGCAATCCATCCTCTGGTTATAAAGCTCCAGTGGGCATCAAGGAAGTGTCTTCTAGTGACTGTCAGGAGATTCTTCCTAATGTTTAGGTGGAATCCCTTTTCCCGCATTTTGAATCCATTGCTCCATTGTTTCCTGGTCTCTGGAACAGTGCAAAATTGCAACCTGCACATATGAAATCTACCAGGAAGAAAGGTTTGCAAACTGAAAATAAAATGAAAAAATCCCAGCCATTTGGAAAGTTTTTCCTCCTTTTAAATAGAGCCTTGATGGGAGGGACTCACAGGCCCATCGTCCCATTCCCAGGTCCTGCAAGGCATTGTGGGGGTTTACCTGAACTCGGGTCTCTGGAAGGTTGGTGAGGGAAGCTAGACACTCCTTGGCTCCCAGGTAAGGACTCCCTTCCAAAGCGTTCTTCAAAACCTGGATCAAGTATTACAATTAGACAAAAGTAGATTGTGGAGAGATTGGAAGAAAGGAAAATGATAGATGGATGGATAGATGGATGAATAGAAAGAAAGAAGGATGAATGAACGGATGGACAGATGGGCAGATGGACGGATGGATGGGTGGATGGATGGATGGATGGATGGATGGATGGATGGATGGATGGATGGATGGATAGATAGATAGATAGATAGGATGGATGGATGGATGGATGGATGGATGGATGGATGGATGGATGGATAGATAGATAGATGAATGGATGGATGCATAGATAGAAAGATATATAGATGGACGGACGGACGGACAGACAGATAGATAGAAAAATGGATGGCTGGCTGGCTGGCTGGGTAGAAAGATAGATGGATGGACGGATGGATAGATGGACGGATGGTTGGATGGACAACCAGATGAATGGATGGGTAGATGGATGGATGGATAGATAGATGGATAGATGAATGGATGGATGCATAGATAGGAAGATAGATATATAGATGGATGGACGGACGGACGGACAGACAGATAGAAAAATGGATGGATGGGTGCATGGATGGATAGAAAGATAGATGGATGGACGCATAGACAGATGGACAGATGGATGGGTAGGTGGGTGGGTGGATGGATAGATACATGAATGGATGGATGGATGGATGGATGGATGGATGGATGGATGGATGGATGGATGGATAGATAGATAGATAGATAGATAGATAGATAGATAGATAGATAGATAGATAGATAGATTGATAGACGGATGAAAAGTTGTACGGATGGACAGACAGAGAGACATGAGAGAGAGAGAGAGAGAGAGAGAGAGAGAGAGAGGGAGGGAGGGAGGGAGATGGTGTTTCATAGATGTTTCCATGTGTAAAAATACTGTTTTCTGCTCAGAAAGGAATGGCTTGGTGTGGAGGAACCATATGGGTTTTCTGAGCAGGTTCGAAAATATTCCCACTTGCCACCAACAGACAAGAGTTCTTTCTCCCGCCCTGGGCATTCCACAGATACATAAACCTCACTTGCCTGGTATCCAACAGACCCCACAACCTCTGAGGATAATAATATTATAATTATAAAAAACTTTATTTATATTCCGCCCTATCTCCCCGGAGGGACTCAGGGAAGATTCCAAACATAAAAGGCAAACATTCAATGCCCAAATACAACAACAGTACATCCATACTAACAAAATTTAAACAACCCAACGTATAAACACGAATTATGACTTAACAACTAAAATTAAATAAAAAAAACGCAGCCTGTTATAACAGATACAAGAGAAAACATCAAACATCAAATAGAAACAATAATTTCCCAGTTCCTTGGGGGCAAATAGATTGATCATTGCTCAAGATACCTTATTGAGCTGGTGGGGTGAGCAGGGCACGGATACGGATGGTAACTATTAATCAGAGGTATAATGGTAGTATCACCAACTCCTCCTTCTCCTCGTCGTAAACCAGTGAGCAAAGTTACGTCTTCAGCTGTTTCTTGAAAGCGGGGAGGGAGGGGGCCATCTTTAACTCCTTAGGCAAGGTGTTCCAAAGGTGAGGGGGCAGCCATGGAGAAGGCCCTTTCACTAGTTCCCACCAGCCATACTTGGGACGGGGATGGGACTGAGAGGAGGGCCTCCTCTGATGACCACAGTGTCTGAGATGGTCTATAGTGGGAGATGCACTTTGTCAAATAGTCTGGACCCGAGCCGTATAGGGCTTTAAAGGTAAGAACTAGCACTTTGTATTTCGCTTGGAAGCAGACCGGCAGCCTGTGGAGCTGTCACAGCATGGGAGTGATTCTCCCCTTGAATGGCGCTCCAGCTAGTAACCTGGCTGCTGATCTCTGGACCATTGGAAGCTTCTGAACTATCTTCAAAGGCAGCCCCACATAGAGTAGTCCAAGCGGGATGTGACTAAGGCGTGGACTACCCTGGCCAAGTCAGGTGTCTCAAGTTATGGGCGCAGCTGGCACACAAGTATTAAATGTGTGAAGGCGCTCTTGGCCACCGCTGACACTTGGGGTTCCAGGGTCAGCGATGAATCCAGAATCACCCCCAGACTGTGGACCTACGTCTTCAGGGGGATTGCGGCCCCATCCAACACAGGCTGTAATCCCACACCCTGATCTGCCTTGCGATTGACCAGGAGTACCTCTGTCTTGTCTGGATTTAGTTTCAGCTTGTTGGCCCTCATCCAGTCCATTACTGATGACAGGAATCGGTTCAGGACCAGAACGGCATCCTTGGCATTAGGTGGAAAGGAATAATAGAGCTGGGTTGTCATCCACATAAATTTGACACCGAATTCCAAAACTCTGGATGATCTCCCCCAGTGGTTGGAACATGGCAAGACAGCCCAGAAAACTCACAGCAACTCAGTGATTCCGGCCATGAAAGCCTTCGGCAACACTTCAGTCCTAATAGATTGTTTCTTGTATTGTCAAATGCTTTCATGGCTGGAATCACTGGGTTGTTGTAAGTTTTTTGGGCTGTATGGCCATGTTCCAGAAGCATTCTCTCCTGATGTTTTGCCTGCATCTATTGCAGGCTTCCTCAGAGGTTGTGAGGTCTGCTGGAAACTAGGAAAATGGGGTTTATACACCTGTGGAATAATGCCCAGGGTGGGAGAAAGAACTCTTGTCTGATGGTGGCAAGTGGGAATGTTTTCGAACCTGCTCAGAAAGCCCATATGGTGCCTCCACATCAAGCCATTCCTTTCTGGGCAGAAAACAGTATTTTTACACAAGGAAACATCTATGAAACACTATCTGTCTATCTATCTATCTATCTATCTATCTATCTATCTATCTATCTGTCTGTCTGTCTGTCTGTCTGTCTGTCTGTCTGTCTGTCTGTCTATCTATCTATCTATCATCCATTCATCTATCTATCCATCCACCTACCCATCCATCCGTCTATCTGTCCATCTGTCTGTCCATCTGTCCATCTGCCTGTCTATTTCTTTATCTTTCTATCTATCTGTCCATCCATTCTCCATCCATCCACCTGTCCATCCATCCTTCTTTTTTCTTCCTTCCTTCCTTCCTTCCTTCCTTCCTTCCTTCCTTCCTTCCTTCCTTCCTTCCTTTCTTTCTTTCTTTCTTTCTTTCTTTCTTTCTTTCTTTCTGTCCATGCATCCATCTATATTGTCTTTCTACCTATGCATTCATCCATCCATCTATCCATCTGTCTGTCTGTCTGTCTGTCTGTCTGTCTGTCTGTCTGTCTGTCTATCTATCTATCTATCTATCTATCTATCTATATCTATCCATCCATCCATCCATCTACCCACCCATCCACCTACCCATCCATTCGTCTGTCTGTCCACCCATCTATCTTTCTATCCACCCATCCACCCATCCATCTATCTATCTGTCTGCCTGTCCGTCCATCCATCCTGTAAGTTTTTTGGGCTGTATGGCCATGTTCCAGAAGCATTCTCTCCTGACGTTTTGCCTGCATCTATGGCAGGCTTGCTCAGAGGTTGTGAGGTCTGTTGGAAACTAGGAAAACGGGGTTTGTTTTATTTATTTATTATTTATTTACTTTGCTTATATACCGCTGTATCTCAAGCCCGAAGGCGACTCACAGCGGTTCACAAACAGTAAAAACAGTAGAAACAGCAGTGGTTCCATACAACATATAACAATTGACTTAACACATTATCCATAAATTACCAATAAGCAATTACAATGACACAATTATTACAAAAAACAACCGTACCCAATCTTCTCATCATCCAAGCGTAGTCCAGGTTCGTCGTCCATTGTTCCATTCCTATGTTCCATTACCAGATTGCACTAAATTACTCAAACGCCTGCACAAACATCCAGGTCTTCACCTTTTTGCGGAATACCATTAGAGATGGTGCTAGTCTAATGTCTGTAGGAAGGGCGTTCTGTTGGTGGCAAGTGTGAATGTTTCCAGACAAGACACAATCAGGAACAGCTAATCACCTCTCAACAAAGGATTCCCCCAGGCAGTAAGAAGCCACACCATGAAAACTGTTAGGCCATTAAATGCTAATCAAGATGGCCAGTTGAAACATTCACACTTGCCTCCAACTGACAAGAGTTCTTTTTCTCACTGGACATTCCACAGATATATAAACCCCACTTGCCTAGTTTCCAACAACCTCACAACCTCTGAGGATGCCTGCCATAGATGCAGGTGAAATGTCAGGAGAGAATGCTTCTGGAACATGGCCATACAGCCCAAAAAACTTACAGCAACCCGGATAATTTCTTGTACCTTGACTTGGGAGTGAGGTGCTAAGGACCTATCAAGAAATTTAGAAATGTTTCTAGGAGTTGAATATATTTATCAACAATGTATACAATGCAATGAAGATTACTACAATATTCTTACAGTGACAGTTGCTCATGGCTTGTGCCATTTGCTTGGGTATAAGCACAGCACAAAAGCCGACTGGGAAGAGATGTATTAAAAGGAAGCACGAATTCTCCAGGAGTTAAGCAGGTTGTCAGATGCAAACTTCCAGCCGCTGACAAAAATCCACTTCTATTTGATATATCTGTAAATTGACCCACAAATAAAAGATATATATATATATATATATATATATATATATATATATATTATGTATTAAAAAACGAAAATAAATTTAGCCTGCTTAATTTTGACCAAAGGTATGTCTGAAGGAGCTTGTCGGGCACCCCATAATCCTGGAACCTCCCAGATGTGAGTCACCCACATCTGGGTTCTACATCTAGGCAGCGGAGGACTGATCCCAATCTGCCTTGCTTCATCCCAGGACCCAGAAACTGGGCAAGACCTGTCGTAAACCTATCCTGCTCTTCCAGTTCTGCGCGGGGGCGTCTCGGAAGGGGAGGTTGGCTCTATAATTGTACCCGGAGCCTCCATGGAGAGGGCACAGGGCACCCCAAGGGCACTCGGAGGGAGGGCAGGCCTTGCTTCCTCGAAGGAAGATTGGGTCGTCTTCAGATCTCAAGCAGAAGAACCTCAAAGGACACTCCGGAGGAGACCGCGGTTGGTCCAGGAGGTAAATTCAAGCCATTCTTTCCATTCTCTCTCTTACTGTTCCTCCTCCTTTCCTCCTTCTCTCCCTCTTCTTCATCTTCTCCTAGTTCTTTCTCTTCCTCCTCTCCTTCTTCTTCCAATTTTTATTTTTCTCCTTCTTCCAATTCTTTTCCAACAAGTCTTCTCCTTCTCCTTCTAATTTTTCTTCCTCTTCTTCTCTCTTTCTTCTAATTTCTATTCTTCCTCTGTCTCCTCTTCATCTCCTTACTCCAATTCTTCTTCTCTTCCCCATGCTTTTCAACATCTACATAACTGTTTCTCAACCTGGGGGTTGGGACCCTGGGGAGGGGGGTGTTGGGAGGGGATGTTAGAGGGGTTGCCAAAGGCCATCAGAAAAAACAGTATTTTCCGTTGTTCATGGTGGTTCTGTGTGGAAATTTGGCCCAATTCTCTCTGTGGGTTCAGAATGCTCTTTGATCGCTGGTGAACTACAAATCCCAGCAACTACAACTCCCAAATGTCAAGGTCTATTTTCCCCAAAATCCACCAGTGTTCACATTTGTACATATTGAATATTTGAAAAGTTTGGTCCAGATCCATCACTGTTTGAGTCCACAGTGCTCTCTAGACCAGTGGTTCTCGACCTCGGGTCCCCAGATGCTTTTGGCCTACAACTCCCAGAAATCCCAGCCAGTTTACCAGCTGTTAGGGTTTCTGGGAGTTGAAGGCCAAAAACATCTGGGGACCCCAGGTTGAGAACCACTTCTCTAGATGTAGGCGAACTACAACTCCAAAACCAAAGGTCAATGCCCACCAAACCCTTACAGTATTTTCTGTTGGTCATGGGAGATCTGTGTGCCAAGTTTGGTTCAATTCCATCGTTGGTGGAGTTCAGATTGCTCCTTGATTGTAGGTTAAATCCCAGCAATTCCCAAATGACAAAATCAACTCCACCCCAACACCACCAGTATTCAAATTTGGGCGTATCAGATATGTGTGCCAAATTTAGTCCAGTAAATGAAAATACATCCTGCATATCAGATATTTACATTATGATTCATAACAGTAGCAAAATTACAGTTATGAAGGAACAACAAAATTAATTTCATGGTTGGGGGGTCACCACAACATGAAGAACTGTATTATGGGGTCGCGGTATTAGGAAGGTTGAGAAACACTGATCTACGTGAAACCACGGGGTGAGGTCATCCAGCGTTTTGGAGTTCGGTGTTATCTGTATGCAGATGACACACAACTTGACTACTCTTTCCCACCACAATCCAAGGAAGCTCCCTGAGTCATGAATCAGTGCTTGGCAGCTGTGGTGGACTGGATTCTTCTTCTCTTCTCTTTGTTCTCTTCTTCTTCTTCTTCTCTTCTCTTTCTTCTCTTCGTCTCTTCGTCACTTCTTCTTTTGTTCTCTTCATCTCTTCTTCTTCTTCTTCTTTTGTTCTCTTCTCTTTCTATTCTCCTCCTCCTCCTTCTTCTCTTTCTTCTTCTTCTTCTTCTTCTTCTTCTTCTTCTTCTTCTTCTTCTCTTCATCGCTTCATCTCTTCTTCTTTTTCTTTTGTTCTCTTCTCATGTCTTCTCTTTCTATTTTTCTTCTTCTCTTCTTCTCTCTATCTTCTCTTTCTTCCCCTTCTTCTTCTCTTCTCTTTCTTCTCTTCATCACTTCATCTCGTCTTCTTCTTCTTTTGTTCTCTTCTCTTCTCTTTCTAATCTTCTTCTTCTCTTCTTCTTCTCCTCCTCCTCCTCCTCCTTCTCTTCTCTTTCTACTCTTCTTCTCTTCTCTTCTCTTCTCTTCTCTTCTCTTCTCTTCTCTTCTCTTCTTCTTCATCTGTTCTTCTCTTTATCTTCTCTTTCTTCCCCTTCTTCTTCTTCTTCTTCTTCTCTTCTCTTTCTACTKTTGTTCTCTTCGTCTCTTCTCTTCTTCTTCTTCTTCTTCTTCTTCTTCTTCTTCTTCTTCTTCTTTTCTTCTACTTCCTTCTTTTCTCCTATTGAAAACAAACCTTGTTGAAAACAAATCTCATGATTCACCTGATACACCCCGCCTTTTTAAATAACAGAAACAATTAGGAAACAAAATAACAGACATCGGTTCTTCCTTTAACTGCGGAACGCATTTCTTTTTCAAAAACCGATGAGAACATCACAATGACAAGGGAATTACTCGTCTCAAAGGCATCGATTTGAGTCCGTAATGTTTTGGAGAGCAGTTATTTCAAATCCATATATATATATATATATATATATATATATATATATATATGTAATGGTTGACATTTAATTTAATTGTGCAGTGGCGTAATCATGACTACTTTGCATTCCTTAAATGCATTGGACCTGAGTGCGTATTTCTAAGAAAAGGGGCGGAGCCTTTTGCTAATAACTGCCATTACTTCATACTCAATATTTCCAAAAATTCCACCCAGAATATTATTATTAGGGAGATTGAGAACATAGCATTCTGGGAAATGTAGTTTGGGAAGGTGAGGCCCCCTGTGACAGAGAATGCAAAAGACCCTGCCCTCAACTACATTTCCCAGAATGCAGTGCTCACTCAGCATCAGAAAGCCCCAAAGGGCTGTAGCAGCCAGCCCTTTAGAGTCAGACTCATAATAATAAAATTATTGAATCTGCAAAGAGGACGAATGTAAGTAAGTAATAGTATAAATTTGTGCGAAGTTGAAGTTTTGTGGTTGTGTGTCATAAAGACAGGCAGGCATTCAAGAGGATTGGGTTGCTGTAAGTTTTTCAGGCTGTCTGGCCATGTTCCAGAAATATTCTTTCCTGATGTTTCACCTGCATCTATGGCAGGCATCCTCTGAGGTTGTGAGGTCTGCTGGAAAGTAGGCAAGTGGGGTTTATATATATGTGGAATGATGTCCAGGGTGGGAGAAAGAACTCTTGTCTGCCTGAGCAGGTGGGAATGTTGTCATTGGCCATCTTGATTACCATTGAATGGCCTTGCAGCTTCAAAGCCTAGCTGCCTCCTGCCTGGGGGAATCCTTTGTTGGGAGATGTTAGCTGTCTGGATTTTTTTGATTGTTTCCTGTCTGGATTTCCCCTGTTTTTTGAGTGTTGCTTTTTATTTACTGTCCTGATTTTAGAGCTTTTTAAATACTGGTTGCCAGATTTTGTTCATTTTCATGGAGATCTTCCTTTCTGTTGAAATTGTTGACATGCTTGTCGATTTCAATGGCTTCTCTGTGTCCCTTCGACAACACATTCAAGGGGATTGCTGTTATCACTTTGGGGGGGGGGGGGAATAAATGTTTTTAAAAATCCCCAAAAATCTGTAGATGTGTGAATCTTTCTGAAACTTCTGGGGATGGATGCCCTGATGATCTTGTGCATTGTATATACAATTCAAATACATAGCTCTTGTAGTTTTTCTTTTAAAAAATGTTGTTTATAAAAACTTTGAAAATTCCACAAAAATCCGCAGATAAATGAAACTTTCTGAAATTTGATGTGCTAACAGTGGTCAATGTGTTCTACCATTGCAGCACGTTTTATTCCAATAGCTTTAAAAATGAGGGAGAAAGGAGCCCTTGAAGATTCCCCATATAGTAATTGTGCACAATTACTATAACGAAATAGTACCGAAATTCTTCACTCTAGTTATAGTAATGAATTTTTTACTAGCTACATTTTAGAAACARTTTTCAGCCATTTTTCAAATAGATCGCACATCTATATAAATAAAAATGTAATGTTCATTTGTGGGATTAACAGAACTCAAAAACCACTGGATGAACTGACACGAAATTTGGACACTATACCCCTAACAGACCAACGAGTGACCATTACTCATAATCCCCCCCCCAAAATAGCAAAAAGGACTTAAAAACCCCAAAAAGCTAAATGACGATGCAGAAAAAAGGGAAGGAAGAGGGAGTGAAAGAAGGGAAGAAAAAAAGAAAGAAAGAAAGAAAGAGAGAGAGAGGGAGATAAAGAAGGAAAGAGAGAAGGAAGAAAAAAGGCAGAGAAGGAAGAAAGGAGAAAAAGAGGAAGGAATGGAAAAAGGGGGGAGGAAGGAAAGAGGTAGAGAAGGAAGGAAGGAGAGAAGGAAAGAAAAAAGGGAAGGAAGGAAAGAGGGAGCGAATGAAGGAGAGAAAGAGGGAGGGAAGGAAAGAGAGAATGGAAGCAAAAAACAAAGGAAGGAAGGAAGAAATGAGAGAAAAAAGAGATAAAGAAAAAGGGGGGGAGGAAGGAAAGGTAGAGAAGGAAGGAAGGAGAGAAGGAAAGAAAAAAGGAAAGGAAGGAAAGAGGGAGCTAAGGAAGGAGGGAAAGAAGGAGAGAAAGAGGGAGGGAAAGATAGGATGGAAGCAAAAAACAAAGGAAGGAAGAAATGAGAGAAAAAAGAGATAAAGAAAAAGGGGGGAAGGAAGGAAAGGTAGAGAAGGAAGGAAGGGGAGAAGGAAAYAAAAAAAGAGAAGAGGGAGCAAAAGYAGGAGGGAAAGAAGGAAAGAAAGAGGGATGGTTGGCCGGTACAGCTAGTCCCTAATAAAAATATTAACTCCAAAGGGAAGGTGCATGTCCCTTTCCTGCCACTAGAGGGAGCATTAAGCCTAGTGGCTGGATTTGGGGAGGTTGTCAATAGAGGCCCATAGGAAGACATAGGAAAGGATGCTCTGTGGGGAAGTTGACCAAATTGGGCACAATTAAGAAAACATTGAGCAAAGGGGTCAGAACCTATAGCTTAAGAAGGCACTGGGCTCAATGGTCTAGATGGCCTCTGGGTGCCCCTTCCATCTGTATGGTTTTTCCTGCCTGGAACAGCATGTGCCTGCCTCCCACCAAGGCGGACGTCAGAAGCTGCCTCTTGGGGGCCCTGAGCCTGCCAACTACGTCTCCCAAGCCCTTGCCTTTTGTCTTGGTGCTCAAAGGCCCGTCTCGGTTGTCTGGAATGTCTTGAGGTCAGAGCATATTTTTGAAAACACACTGTCGGATTAATGGAGCTTGACCCAGCTGTAACAGACCTTGGCTGAGAGCAATAGCATTCTGGGATCTGTAGTT